GAAACGGGCAGGGGTGGGGATTGAGCCCAGGATCCTGGGTTCTGCAGCGCGAGCTTTCGCTCCACGTGCTCCGAGCTGGTGTGCGCAAGCCCACTCGGCCACCGATCCCCCCCACCCGTTTGTGAAAAACATATTGTGGCTGTGTGGTGGTGTGGGGGGAGAAAGATGAGAAATAAATTACACAGTTGTTAGCCTGCGCCAGTCCTGTATGTTATTTTTCGTTTATTCTCTGCTTTAGTTTAAATCTTTATTAAGTGCGTTTTTCTTACATCTACGCAGCGTAGCAAACCGTCGCAATGTCTAATTAACTAGCCCATATCCAAGCAATATTTGTATAATTAGCATCCGTGCTGTTTCTTATTTGTCATTTACTGATTTAAATAAAAGAATTGGGTTGTGTGTATTTTGATACAGCCTAAAACTTGATCTGCCTCAACGGGTGACGATTCTCCCAGCTGTAGATGGGAAATTTAGCCAGTGCAGTACAACCGCTAGCCTGGGGTCTTTAACGTGCATCACGCAGGAGTGATACACGAACGCACGCCGGTGCGATGCTCATCAACATCGAAACGGGCAGGGGTGGGGATTGAACCCAGGATCCTGGGTTCTGCTACGGAGCTTTCGCTCGACGTGCTCCGAGCTGGTGTGCGCTAGCCCAGCCGGCCACCGAACCCCCGATTAAATAAAACCCTTTACTGCGGAGCGTAGGGACTAATCGGAGCTACGCTGGGGAACTCGCCGCCGCCGCCGGGGGGGGGGGGGGGGGGGGGGAGGGGGGGGGGAGGAAATGTAAGAGGAGGCGTGGGAAACTCGACGGTGCAGAGTCAAAAGAAGCTCCTCCTCTTCCCCGTTACGTCGCATCAGAGAGATTCCTGCCCACGCCAACTTAGCCCCCAGGGCTCGTTTGCTCGAAACGCTAAGCGCGGCTAAAGTTTGCCGCAGTACCTAGGAGAGGGATTTTGGAATCACGTGACTGGCTCGGTAGGGATACGGGGAAACACGGCGCTGGCCCGGTGAGCGAGCGGTCGGGTATTGATAGCACTTAAAAGCAGACAGCTTCCAAATATACATTTTTTTCTAAATTATCCAAGCATCGAGGAGAACGCTGGAAGTGTAATTCTATGTCCCGCGCGCACTGGCCTCCCACTTATAAAAGATTCGAAGTAAATAATCATAATAAGGCTTTGTCGAACGCGCGTGCAAGGCAAAATTTGTTTTAGATTTTTTGCTTTAGAACAGCTACTACAAACGCCAGCACGTGCAATGCGTGTAACTACTCTTGTAGCATGCACCTCGGTGCTTGGGAAATTCAGAAAAAGGTCTATTGGGGCGCTGTCTGCTTTTGCGTGCTATCAGTACCCAACCGATCGAGTCGAGGCAATCCACTTTCCAAAGACGTTGCCATGCCGACAATGATCGCGTTCATTTAGGCTTAGGAATGGCCAGAATCGAAAGACTATCCAAAAAATGCGGCGAGGTCATTGCTGATGCTTTGCGATTTAAGTGAGGTAAGGCAAAGCGAAAGTCTCCTGCACCACTTGTTGGTGACTAACGCGCCCGATATTGCAGCTACAACGACCTATTAGTTCCAAAGCGGGCGGCGCTCACTCACGGGGTCACCGCCATGTTTCCCCGCATCCCTACCGAGCCAGTCTCGTGATTCCGAAATCCCTCTCCTACGTACTGCGGCTAACTTTTGCCGCGGTAAGCGCTTCGAACAAACGGGCCCTGATGCAGCCGATGCTACAAGCGCGAGCATGTGGTCCTGACCACTTGCACAGCAGGAGCGCGCGTGCTTGGACGCTGAAAGCCTGGAGCTCACTCTTTGAGCTTCTGCTATTTTCACACCTAATGTGAAACGGAGTATTGTGTTGAGAACACCACATTTCAGCAGAAAACTGTTTAACATGGTTTGCACGTGACATCATTGCACTATATGCTATATTTCGTTTCAGCTTAACTACAGACGCAGCCGATGCTACAAGCGCGATCTCCGGGCTTTCAGCGTCCCTGCCAAGCACGCGCGCTCGTGCACTGCAAACACTGTGCAGGGCCGCATGCTCGCACTTGTAGCATCGGCTGCGTCTGTACATAGGCTAAAACGAAGTATAGTGGTGAGAGATTTCTTTTTGCTGACAAAATCAAATCCCGTGGTACAATATGCACTCTACAGAAGGTTCGCGCTCAGTGCAACTCATGTATTCAGAAACAAAAATATATTCTTTTTTGGTGCAGCGTCGTGAAGAACGGCGCGAGCGACTGGCACCCCAAAAATCCGCTGGCAGGAGTGATTTTACAACCGAAGTAGTTTTGCTGGATCACGCTGTCTGCTCTGTGCAGAAGATGCGGAGCAGAGGAACCTTTACAACACAGTGTTTTTAACCCCCACCCCCTCTTTTCATTTGACGGTGCTCCTCCATAGGATACATTTTATATCTGAGAAACTCCCTCCTCAGTTTGGGGTGCCGATTCGACAATTATATTTGTGTCGTCTGTTAACAGTAACCCTCCACTTCTTTTATTTTGCACCCGAAAACTGTGAAATTTAAAGAAGACTGTGAGATTTTGAGCGGCTGCCGACGTTCGGCTGTCCCTCAAAGGCTACTATGATCTTTCTTTTCAAGTATCTCTGCCGTACACAATTATAGTTCCATTTATCGTAAGATTAATAATTCATGTTTAGTCCCTTCAATGCCTCTATTCTCGGGGGAAACTTTCTCAGACAGTTCAGCAACAACGAAAACATGTTTGAGTGCCTCAATGATGTGTACATGTAAAATGGTTCATGCAACAATTTTTGTATTTCCAGTAAACACCGCTAAGAGGTAATCCCTGTCGTTGACAGCTTGCGAAAACGCTCATTAATTTTCGTCTCCGCTCAATAGCAGACGGAGAAGGAATAAAGGGAAGAAACAACTTTCCCCTCTTCAACTTGCTATTAGAATAAGCGGCGATGTAATCTGACGCTAATTGTATACCGCCAGTGTTCATCATAGTCATGCGCTGGAATTGGCAAAGAATAAAGCATGGGTTGAACTTTAGACATTGTTAGAGTTTGGCTATTCTCATCCTTGATTGAACACAAGCAAACGCTAATGTTTGGTGATGCTGATTGTCAAGAACCCGAGCACTCGACTCGGGCTCATGACAATCAAGTGCGTCACGGAGTTACATGACTCGCTGTGAGAAGTCGGATGGCATGTGATGTTACGGTGTCAACGACGCTAATACATCGATAGTCCGTTACAACTCAAGAAGGTAGACAAGGCAAAAGACGGCCGGGAAGGAAGAAGCAGATGAAACGCTGGAGAAGAGAGTGGAACCTCCTCCTCTTTCCAGCGTTCCGCATGCTTCCTCCTCCCCGGCCTTCCTTTCCCTCGGCCTACCTTCTTGAGTTGCAACGGACTATATTCACGTGCTGAATTTAAGTCGACTTGACGCGGTGAGTCACGCGACTACGTCGCGGGACCACGTGACGTGACATTATTTGACAGCATGTCTTGTCACCATGACGTCGCGCGACAACGCGACACACGATTAATCGTAGTGCCAATACAAAAGCGCCACGAAAACACACTATTTCTCATACGTTGTGATTCGGTATGTGACAATTTGATCACTACATAGAAATACAGCTGCTAACTTTTACTTCTAAAATACTTATTTTATAATAAAAAAAAAAAAAAAAACCGTGAACCGCTCTGAACCAGTTACCGTTATATTTTCTCCCGGTTCTGCTCCGGTTCAGTTCCAAGATGGTGGCAAAGATTTCGGTTCGGTTCAGTTCTGGTTCGGCTAAAAATAATGACTCTGTTCCGGTTTTCGGTTCGGTTCCGGTTCGACACTCTGGTAGAGATTACCAAGCAAAGATTAAGTGAATGGTGGCAGAAAGCGAGAGAAAAATAGGTATTTACTTATTAACTGATAGCAAGGGTGTTTTATAGCCTCACTTTTTTTTTAGTGCGGAGTGAATATAGTTTTTACATGCAACTATTCTAAGCTTAAATGGTAAAACAAAAAGGCTAAGTGGCGCAAGCTACCGCCCGATCCAAAGGGCTCAGCCGGATTCATCCATCCATCCATCCGTTGTGTTTGCCGGTTGTCCGCTTGCCGCCGTCGCTCACCTTTCGAGCCTTTCCATAGGGAGGCTCAAGCGAGGGTGAACGCAACTGAAAACTTGAAGAGCGTTGGCAATTTAATGGCGGCGCCTGAGAGAGAGGATTCGAGAAAGGATATGCGCCAGTGTTGCCTGCACGAGAGCAGGCGCACGCTCTGTTGCAGCTCTGTTGCTCCATACGCCTTTCCTCCTCTCGCCTCCCATTGCAAGCAACGAGCGCCTTGGCGCAGCCTCTCTCGTTTCCTTCTCGTTCCGAGAATTGTAGACGTCGAGAGGAGAAAGCAGGGTTGCTAGACAAGCAGCAACGTCTAAGATGGCGGAATTTACCATTTTTTCGCGTTAAAAAATACTTAACCTATCGCAACAAAAGTGGTGGCTATGGAAAATTAATCATTTACACCTCGCGTAAATTATTCAAGCACCTTAATGGGCCCCCATGACCTGAGTTAGGAAAGAAAACGACCCTTTGCCCCATAGACTCCCAGCAAAATTTAGCAATTAAATGGCGTCCATGTCCCGTGATCGCCGATCTAACAGTTGCACCCACCCTCACTTGAGCCTCCCTACCTTTCCACTCTAGCTTGCCGACTTTCGGCCGGCCATAACTTTATTCCCACCGCAGTACAGCTTCGCAGGTATTCCTTCTTCACAAAAGTAGAAAGGCTAAAAGTTTTTGCGTTTCTCTTTTTTTTTTTCGTGACAATGTTATGGAGAGGTAGCATTTATAGAGGCCCGAATAATCATTTCGTCCTTGGATTTCATCCTTGGATTTCGTCTTTGAATTTAACATTTTTTTCGCAGATATACGGTACTGACTACGCGGTTGGTCTATTGGGGGAATTTAATATAAACGCGCGATGTCCCCTGCCGCTCCGCTGTGCAGTACGCGAGCCTGGATACCGGCCAGGAAGGACTGGTTTGAACGGCGCCGAGTTTCACTTCGACGTGGACCGCGTGGACATGGAAGAGGAGCGGCCTCCCATGTGGGTGAGGAGGAAACACGCACCGTGGCGCTTGCTTCGCCTCTTGCCTTGTCACGTGACGTGTATGTTTAGATGGGGGAAAGGTAGTCAGCATCGATGAGTGTCTGGTCTACCCGCTCTGGATGATACCATTTTGTTAGTGCAGCACCACCGCTAGCCTGGGGAATTTAAAGTGCATCACATAGCAGTAGAGAGTTTTAATATAATTGGGGGGGGGGGGGGGGGGGAGGTTCCGATCCCTCGGACATACGTCGCATGCACCAAGTCGTCGGCAGTGTCATCGGAACAACCTACTAAAAATCTCCAGTAATACACGTCCGCTTGCCGGTAGAAATTCTAATTCAAACAGAAATGGGCAGGGGTGGGGATTGAAGTCAGTATCCCTGGTGAACTTTGTAGAGTAACGCGCAGTTTACAAAACACGTCCGCCTTTGGCCACAGCAAGTGTGAGCATAGCCTGTGCACGGGAATGAAATTCACGGAAAGTGAAACGTCCGCTCATGCACAGCACCGACAGCAGCGCCCCCGCAGCGGCGTGGTGTCTGGGCCGGACGTTGGTGTTTTCGCTTACCCTGGTCCCCAGGCGCGGTGTCGGCATATCTGGTATGCGAGAGGAAAAAAGAAACGAGATCATTACAATGTGGAAGGAGCAAAAATAAACTATAAAAGAGGAAAAAAAGAATGAGTGCTAACAGTCGTTATAACACCTTCTAGAATTGAGGCAAGGGCAAAACACTGTTTTCCCGTATACCGGGAGTTTCGTGATTCAAGGTGGCACCGCCCGTGTATAAAATGTCTACTCTAGGTCTCACCCTAAGGGGGACTATGGGTCTATGGCAGATCCTGCTTTGAGGAAAGGGGGCGGTTTTGTTGAATCGATTTGTGGGACACCTTCATCACCGCCATCTTGAATTATCGCTAGCTCTAATTACTTTAGATGCAGCTTACCTACACTCGTGAAATAGGTGAGTTAAGTATTACGTAGCTGACCGCCACGAGGAAGATTAAAGTTTCATTAGCGCGGGTTGTAAACTTCTTATGACTCGCAGAACCGAGAACCAAGTTTCCGGAATGCACAAAAACATCGCGGTTGTAGTAGGGGCTCACTAGCGGTCATATAATACTAATTTTTCTATACAGTTGAGTTGAGACTCTCGCCGCAGATGGCGATGGTCCAACAAGATTGTTTAGCATGTTCATAGAATGGTCTCCCGCCGTTGGTAGTGCTCCCCGATGTCGACTGTTTTTTTTTTTTGTCCAGGGGTGGAGGAAGATCCTGGCGGTGAGCGTCCTGGTAAGTAGCGCCGCTGAACCTGGGTCTGCCGCCGCTACGAGGGTTCTGCCGCGCAGGCTGTGCTACTGCTGGTGTCCACCTTTCTCGGGGGCTACTTCCACGGGCTGCACTCGGCCAGGGGCAACCGGGATGCGGCGGCTAACATTTCCCGTAAGTCCCTCGGGCAAAGAAGACGCTGCTGGAGTCCTATTTTGGTCAATGGGAGAACTATAGTGTTCTCGGCTATTGATTGGGCCTCGCGCTACATTTCCATGTAATCAGACCTCGACCCCTACCGCCCCTCCCACTCACTTCAATCCGCCAAGCGTCGTTCGAAGCGCCATCTATATTTTCGTTTCATGTCTGTGCGTTACAAAGAGCCCAGCTGAAGCGCCTTGAGACGATCACAACGCTGCCATTATACTGCAGCGGTCACTCGCGGACCTGCACGTAACAACCATTTTGGCTTCAATCGGTTATTTCGGAGCCGAAACAAATAGGGAAGCCACCCCCGTCTCCCCAGCGGACGCGCCGCGAATTTGCCTCGAAGTTAAGATGAGCCTAGGTCGGGACACGCCACCTGAAATCCCCGCTGAGGCATGGTTGTATTAAAACAATATTAATTGTACCGCAAAACCTTGCAAACTAAAGATTTTAGAAAACATCACGCGCCCCTCATTTTGTACTAAACTCCAATAAAAGCTACTACCAAAATAGTTTTTTTCCGTTGTTTTTTACGTTTCTAGTACGTTGAAACGTACGTATCCTGATCCAGTTACGAAAGCAGCCACCAGGCGGCGCGTCAAGTGACGCTTGGCGAGTCATGGTGAGTGAGGGGGGCGGGGGTAGTGTTCGTGCATGCGGCGTCTATGAGCAGTTCCGTAACTGAGCTAATCTAATAGAGAGTTTTAGTAGATCGTTCCGATACCTCCGATAGCCCCGATAACGATACTGCATGCTCAAGGGAGGCGGTGGCGGAGTATCGGGTATCGTTATCGGAGCCATGGGAACGATCTACTAAAACTCTCTATTAACGTTGGATTTGCCTCGGCGTGACGTCACGAGTTGTAACCCTTGCTACTTACCATAAGTTGCGACGACAAGTTCGATGGTCTGTTTAAAAAGCACGGTGGAAACTAGAAGTCATTGCATTCCGACACTAACACCGTCGAAGTTGACAGTCTGATAATGCTCTTATGCGCATGCATGGTTTGGCCAATCGTGGAAAGCGAACAGCAGCGACGCTTTTGGTCGCGCACGTCGCTAATGGTAGAGGCTGTTGCCGATGAAGTGCCTTGATTTGCCATTGGAGGCGCTCGGTAAGGCTTTTCTGCGACCCAAACGCGGTTCACAGCCTGTCAGCGGACAGTCTGGACGGGGCGCGTCTGGTGATATCTGTTTTTCGGGAAGTACTGCCGTAGAGTAGTGCCAGCAGTCTGCAGTAGCAGTAGCACGTAGCAGGGTGCATCGCTCTCATGTTTGCTTGGGGTGAAAGAGCGCGTTTTTCTTGCACGGAAGCGCAAGGCCCTTATTTAGCCATGACGCTCTTGTGCCATCGTCGAAATAAGGCGCGTTTTCGGACCAGACATAAATAGCCACTGTGCTGGCAGCCGGCGCCTCTAGTGACGAAACTGTCAAAAGACCACCGACTGACGGCTCGATCCGGCGAGGCGCGCGAGTAGAGCAGGTCAGGGCAAGATAAGGCCGCCACGCCTGGTGTGCTTTCGATAGATATACAAATACATTAAAAAAAAAAATTGTGCAGCGTGAAGTTATAGCGTGAAGAAACGCTGCGTCCGCGGCCATATACTGCAAGGTGCGCGCTGGCACATTCTTCTGTGGGCAGGTCAGGATTGCAGTAGGTCGTGCTTTCCTGTCTGCCTCGGGGGGAAATCGGTGGCCGAGTAGGCTAGTGAACGCCAGCTCGGAGTGCGTAGAGCGAAAGCTGACTCCGCAGAACCCAGGGATCCTAGTTTCAATCCCCACCCCTACCCGTTTTGACCTGAATGAGCATCATACTGGCGTGCAGCTGTGTTTCACTACTGCGTTTAAGTCCCTAAAATCGCGGTTGTGCTGCACTGGCTAAATTTCTCGCCTACGGCTGAGACACTAAACGCCAATCGGGGCTAACTCCCGTCTGTATGAGCACACACAGAACACAGTTATTTTTGTCTCTCTTGTATATTTTCCCTAGTCTTGTGGATTAATTTCTCAATATCCCCAAAAATTACTTGATTGAAGCGGAGTCAAATTTGATCCACCAGGGAACATAAGGTAGAACGTTGTTTCCGAAAACATTTACCATGTAAATTCAAGCGTTTGGGCCAAACAGACTAAGAACGTAAACACCAAGGTAAATCAAGATTATCAGAAGCACTGACCTCTATTGTAGTAGGCGGGTCGCGCATAGACGCTAGTCTTGCCAGGGTCAAGCTGCACCATCGGCAGCCATCGCTTGACACCAGCTAATGCACGAAACTCTTTGGGAGAAACGGGGAAAACTGCAATTCTTTATCTTAGGAGTTTGTTCTGCACGATGGAACTTTTATCGAGTTTTCCGGGAATGACCGACAATATTCTGGGCGCAAATATCAAAAGCGGTAGAATACCAATCTTATTTAAATAAATGTTCTTTGATTGAGGGTTGAGGATTGCGACTTCGTTGGGCGTAAACTGTGATGTGGTTCAATGATACAATGGTTGCTGAGAGTCAATGTGGAGTCGTTCGGTATTTTGAACTCATCAGAGCTTAGCAGACGATATGTTAGAAGACCTTTACTGTGGGACATTCGCATCGTTTGAAGCACTTCTACCGAGTACTGTCTGGTGCTACCTTTTGCTTTGAACTGCAGTGAGGGCTTCTGTGACGAACTAAAACTCAGATCGTGTCGTTCAGCGCGATCTGCGTGTCGTTCAGAGCGTGTCGTTTAGTGCAATTTTATAAAAATAAAGTAAATTAAAATAATTACATTAAATGATTAAATTTGGTCCCTAACACCTCCCTGACCCAACCCACAAACCACCGTCGACACATATCCCTATTATTCACTTTCAAGGGGCCGTAATGTATTTAAATTATTAAATTTAATTGCATTAAATTTAATAATTTAATGTAACTGATATAATTTACTTTATTTTTATTTTTATTTAGTGCTTTAATTTAGTAGAGTAATGTAACGATTTTAAGTGATTTATTGGCATTACTTTAGGTGTAAATCTTTGGGTCAAAGTGATGAAGAAGTTTAAAGTCTTAGTTGATAGTCAGCGGTGTGTATGTCTCTGTTTCTGTTTCTCCCTGTCTGTGTTTGGTCCCTACCATTTAGCTGACCGTTTATTTTTTAATTATGTGCCAACTAGTTCAACTTCAGCCTGTTATTTATTAAACCAAAGGCGGTTCAAATTAATGGAAGTGTCAGTTGCCCACCGTATACTTGAAGCTCACTTCAGTATTTCTTTAGTTTGTACATACGTCAGCGAGTTTGTTAAATGTCTAGATGACTTTAATTTCACTTACATTTTATATAAGTGATTCTGGATTTACATTATCATTTTCTATTAAATTTTGTTGCTACTTTGTTAATTGACCAATCTGAGCCAGTTTGATGACGCGCATAGATTATTTTATAATGACATTCAGCAGGCATAGAAATCTCGAAATGTGTAATGTTTTTTTCTTTCTGTGCGTCATCATAAAGACAATTGCTCAAATAAAGAGTGCGTTAAAGAAACCGATTGTGGTGGTGACGATAATAATAATACTAATACTAATAATAGTTTTATTGCTAATGAACAAAACGAATGTGAAGGATTTTCCAAAGGCACTTTGGGCTTGACTGGCAGCAACTTAAAATCGGTGAAATAAGTCGTATGCAAAAGGAGTCATGTAAATTTAAAAAAAAATCCATGAAAAAAAAATAAAATAAAAAAAAGCAAACTAATGTGCACTTTGCAAGCTAACATTTCTCGGAACTTTCTTCAGTCTGTATTTTTTCTTATATTAATGATACTAGAAATTAGCTTATTCAGAAATGCTGTTATGTAGTAACAATGAGTTTTTCTTCCAAATCTTGTAGAACAGCTTGTTCGTTTCAAACATAATGGTGATAATGACAATTTTTAAGATTGATATCCACTTGAAGTTGGTTCTTTAACGAGAGGTTGTTTTTGGGACATCATTACACCATCAAACGAATGCGACAGCACGCACATGCCATGCCCCCGACTGGGATCCCAGAGATGCATATTTAATTTTCACTCATTTCAGAGGAGCTGTTTGACTCCGGATGGCAGCGACTGCCGTGCATAGGAGAAGACGAGACCTGTCCAGAAGGGTGAGCGACGTCTTGGAGCAGTTCGCGCAGCCAAAATCCGTAAAAATTACATTATAATCTGGGGCTGCGTTGAATCCACTTTTGTGGGTCTGTTCGATGCACAATATATGGTCGCCATATTTTGAGCGTCACTTCCTGCGCGAAGCTTGTTTTTGTATATGAAAATGGCGTTCGTGTTTAGACAGCGTAAGGTCGGTCTGTCTTTGAAGTATGTCGACATTGGTTGCGCTGCAGATAACAAATTTAATGAATGCAGTTCTACCGCCAGCCTAGGGTATTTCATGTGCATCACAAAGTAGAATACATGACCGCACGCCGGTACGATGCTCATCGCGATCGAAACTGGCAGGGGTGAGGTTTGAACCCAGGATTCTTCGGTCATTTAGCTCAAGCTCGAGCTCCACGTGTTCCAAACTGCGTTGCGCTAACGCACTCGCCCAGCGATTCCCCCTTTTACATTCACTCAACCGGAATGACAATGGTGCACTTGGCACCACTACTATTCTTGTTTGAAAAAAAAAGGACCGCCACGACTGCGACCTCTGCGGTGTTCAAGATAGGGCCGAGTACTTCCAGGGGACATGTCCAAAGTTCCTGGCAGAATTAAAGACTCACCATGCTGAAAACTCTCGCCGCATCCGACATTTAACTCAGCCCTATTGCTTGGCGACGGATCTCTATCTGACACCAAACTTCGGATTTACAGCTGTGTTCTGAGCGAGCACATCTCTTCAGCAGTGGGGTTCAACCGAACTCTCGGGGTAAAAGGTACTTACCTGAGAGCCCTGAATAGGGTGACATTATCATAACTTGATCGCTTCATATTGGCATGAGCAGCCAATAAAACTTGATTTAGCACGCGAGTAAGCACTACTCTGACATCTTTGGCTGACGTGAAAATTATGGACTACGCTCTTGTCTACGATGTGTTACTTTACCGCAGTATCAAGCTGTTTACCGGGAGTCAAGCCAAATAGTTGAACCTGGTTGATATGCTTAAGGAGGCGATGCTGCTGTAGATTTAAAATTTTTCCACAAGGAGGGGCCCTGCAGTTCTGCGCTCGACAGTTAGGAAGTGACTTGCAGCGCAGGTTCGGCGAGGCACCGCTGGTGCTCATCTCCCTGGATGGCTTTCGGGCCGACTACCTGGACCGGGGCCGCAACCCTTCTTTGGAGCGGCTAGGCCAGTGCGGCGTGCGGGCTCCCTTCATGCGGCCCGTCTTCCCCACCAAGACGTTCCCTAACCATTTCACCATCGTAACGGTGGGTGCCATTTCCGCACTTTTAAATTGCGTAGCATCTATCGGGCCAGCTCTTGGCGCCTTCGTGTCCATGGTTTGTAGCCTCGACGGTGACGTCATGCTGAAGACATTATGGTGTTCACGTGACGTCATCAGCTTTTTAAAAGATTTTACGTGGCGTCATCACATGAACATCGAGATGACGTCATGGTGCTCAGGTAACACAATGAGTGTAACGGTCGTCACGTGAGACCGTGACGCCACGACTTCACGCGATAATTGACGTCACGTGAAACCATGACGCCATAAGATGCAGTGGCGTCAAGTGCATTGTGATGTCACATGACTCACTGACGTCATAGTGCCATATGGTATCGCATCGTAACGTCAGGTAATACCGCGACGTCACAGAGGATATATAAGTGCGATGCATTTAGAGCGCCATCGGGTTATATATATACGATCTGTTTTTAGGCAGAGTGCGTTTTATTTGCAAAATTCATAAAAAAGCCGTAATGAAAGAGGGTCACAAAGAACCACCACGGAGAACCGTCGTGTCAAATATCTCACTAAATATAGCGGGGAAATTATTCGCAGGTGACGTAACCACGTCAGGCTACATCATGTAACGTGACGTCAATTTCCGCGAGGTTCTTCCGCGTGGTGGTGGATTACGCTCAAGAAATTTTGTCCCCCGGTCTTTTGTCAGCATGACCAAAGTTACGTGTTTTTGTTTTCTGATTGCACGGATGCATAGGGCCTGTGGCCGGAGTCCCATGGCATCGTGGACAACAAGATGTACGACCCGGAATTCAAGACACTCTTCTCGCTGGGCAACAAGGAGGCGGGCAAATCCCGTTGGTGGCAGGCGGAACCGGTGAGCTGCAGAGTAACTGAACGGCCGAATCAAGGTATCGCCTACCCGTTCCCTTTTGACATCCCCTTCTTATTGGAGAAGAAGTGAGCACAAGCACCAAAAGTGTCCACGGTACTGCGGACAAGTGGCCTTGCAGAGCACCGAGGTTTAGGCTAAACACATTTTTCACTACTTTAGCGCAATGCAAATCTTACACGAAGTCTGACGAGAATGCAGCTTCTCGAAACTATGAGCATTGTGTGGGCTAGTACGATGGCACTTTATTTATAACCCCAGGTATGTTTTAAAGTGGCTGTCGATGAGGCAGACATTGCGGGTACTCGCAAGCGCTTCCGAACTGCCGTGGGGAAGCGTTAACGCCAGGATACCGCCGCTCGCCGCCGCGTCTCTTGCAAGGACATTCAATAATACTTCTACATAGGATGGCTTAATATTGCTATACGCTACCTCGAAAGTGGAGCATATACATTTACTCGTAAGCTGCAGAGCCGTTTGTAAACGGTCTGAATATTAGGAGCGGCCTGGGGACCGCAGAGCTGCATTTTACCCTCGTAATATTGGCAGGATATCATGTAAAATTTGATTATTTATTCCCTCGATCAAAATACTGAGATAGGGTCCTCGTCTTATCGGCCACATGTGCAACCGGTCCAATGGGAACTGCAACCTTTCCGTCTTTTAAAGTTGTCCCTGTCGTGCGGCGAGAGTTGGCAACCCTACCGAAAATCTAGTATAAGTTTTCGCTATCCGGATTATGGAACCGGAAATCTATCTGGATTCTATCTGGACTTTATCTGGATTTTAGGTTTTCAGAAATTATTCCTTCGTCTGCAATCTGGATTTCGGGTTTCCAGAGAAAAATTTCCGGTTCCATAATCCGGATAGTAAAAGGTTATACTGGATTGTTTGGTAGGGAAGTAAACTGTTAAAAATTGCGAACTGCGTCTCATTCAGCTGTTACATTTTGAAACGATTTCGTAATTACAGGCTTACATAATTGTCAGTGTGTTGTGTAATATCCCTTTATCATACAGCTCGTGTTATATTACTTTAACATTTTACTTTTATGAAGATCTAACATTACACTATTTTAAATCCATCCAAGCTGTCACACCAAAATCACGCATTAAATAAACCGCAAATTAAAGCACAGTGCAGAAGAGATGATAACAAGACACAAACACGATGTTTTTTTTATTAAAAATTATTTTAACTTGTTTTACTTGAGAATACTTAAGCTAAGAATACTACTGTTCATTTAAACATCAGCGCCAGTGAGCAAAGTCAATACAATCAGCTTTTTGACAAAATCGTAATTATACACTTTCTGAAAACAGGAAACTGTGTACATTGTGGCTAGCATCTATAACGAGTCTTCAAATTCCTAGTTTGAATAAGTAAAACTAATGCATTCGAAATTAAAAGAAATGCAATGGCGATTTGTCCATAGGAAAGGCTTGTCAGTCATGCACGGCAGTTATCGCCCAAAGAACATTTTAAGTATCGTGGCACAGAAGCTGGCCAACTTGGTAAAATTAGAGCAAAGCCAAGGGAGGAAGAACTTAGAAACATGATAGAGCACCAGAAGATGTATAGTCAACAAGCACAACAGATGAAATTAATAAAGCCGACCGAGTTGGGGTTTTGTTCTTCAGCTTGTGAACATTCTCAGGAGACCTTGTACGAACAGTCTTCGATATATGCAGATGCCTGCGTATATTTTAAGGGACATTTTAAAGGGACCATGAAATGATTTTAAAATCGAGTTTCATCCACCGCACGTCGTAAAAGGTGTGAAAAGGAACACAAAAACACAAAAATAGGGAGCCAAAAAAATTATTTGCTCTATAACTTTTAAAAGAAAACTGGACTCTTTTGCGCCTTCCTTCCTTCGCCTGTTCACTACGATGCATCCGCGGAAATGGAGTACGTCAGCCAAATCCACGTCGCCTATTGGGTAACAGCCTACCTCACCAGCACCGCGATCGTAAACAATAAATAGCCGGCGAATGTTTCCTAAAAGTTTTGTTAAATAATATTCAGATCCACATTTTGTAGCATAATTAGAGATGTGTGGCGAAAATTGCCAAATTTGATAATGCTGAGAGCCAAGCGCCATCTATCGTGTGGTAAACGAAGCAACTACTGCGCGTGCGCATTCGGGCAGGGCCGACAGTTACTTGGGGGCCGGCGACCACGACCAACTGACGAACGTTTATTTTCTTTGTTTTCCTTCCTCTTAAAACTCTGACTGACTGAACGTTTATTTTTCTACGTGTTCTTCCCGCGCGTGCCGACTTCAAGCAGCAAGAAAACAGTACTTAAAACAGACCACGACAAACAAGAACGCTGGATCCACCGACTCCGACGAAGCGAGCTGCTCAGAATATAGGCCTAGCAGGCATTCCGACTCGGCGCTGCGTTGCTTCGTCGCAAGACCGTCTGCCTACGACCGGCTCGCGTGCTAAATGGAATATGCCCGCGCGACCCTTGTGGACCCTTCCCGTATTATAGTTTGATTGCTGACCTCAATTCTAGATTAAGAGGTGAGGTCAATCTCTTCCCCTTGTTTTCCGAGGCAGTGTTGACGAACACTCGTCGAAAAGGGACTCTCGTCGATTCTATCTTCTTGTTTTGTGTGATATAGAGCTGAAATAAACGCTGCATGGATTACCTTCGTAACACGGTATGTACACTTTGTTATTGGTATGCCATTTTTATTCTGACAGACTGCACGTCACTGTCGAGCTATAACAGTTCGTGGGAGGTATACGTACAACCCCGGTCCAACCTTTCTTTGCCGAGTGTCGGCTCAGTATCGAGTTGCAATCGTAAAAGAACGGTCCCGAAGCGCTTACAAACAGCGCGAATATAGCACTTCCATCAAGCGCGCGCGTCCGCTCCGAGTGTAAACAGGTATTTACGTGGCTCTTGCTGACACTCGTAGTTCAAACGTATCTTTTTTAACGTCGGCTCGCTCCTGCATCTCCGAGGCCGCGAAAAACGCCATCTACGTCGTTTTGCAAACGACTGACACGGGCCGGCCCTTCTGCCAACAATGACAGGGTGGTTGACTTCTGGAATCTTCACCGGAAGACTCGCTGCACTTCCCAACAGGCATACCGGCGTATGGGACTAGTCCCATGCTGTCGCTGTAGCGCAACATATCTCATTGAATTTCGCTCAGCTGCGATGCGGCGATGAGAGGCGCTGATTCAGGAAATACGTCGGTGACATCAGCGCAGTAAAACCTACCGGCGCACCCCAACTCGTTGCCGCTAACACCCCCATTCTCCTACTGCCGAGAGAACTTCCGGTTCCGGAAACGGCCTACGTCACGGCTTGTTTTGCGGTCAGTTGGAGAGAATGAAAAAGTCGATATTTCAATAATTTTTTGTGTAGAAGTTAATAAACCGAGACGAAAACGGATGCCTGTTCGGCATTCAGTGAACATTGACGGTTTAATGTAAAAGTTATCTGGAAAAAGTAAAAAAGGTCATTTCATGGTCTCTTTAAGAACTACACGCGTCTTCACAAACATCATCCGTTATTGCATTCGTCCTAGAAGTCGTGACTTTTATTGAAAATAAATTGCGTACATTTTTCCAGCGCAAATGTCAAGGCTGTCGAGTCGCTGGCCTGTGAATGCTTGCGCGGCGTCTGATATCCTGCAGACGACACTGTGCTGAAAATTCTTTCCAAAGTCAGCAGACAAAGATGGCAGCACGCAGAAGGCGAATTTTTGGAATGACCTATTCGACATACAAGTTTGTCTGATTCTTGTGCACGACATACGTCTGTTTATCTGCCAGAGGTGCCTCCGTAATTTTTGTTTTTCCTCGACCTTAAAGGGAAGATGGGGCGGTTCTGCATTTGAGAAAAAGAAACGCACTTTAATCGTGTTCATTTGGCCGTTACAATAACAGATATCAGAATTAAATTTCAATGCGACGCGCCGGAGAGCTATAAGAGTAATTTCAAAATAGGGCTGAAGCCCCGCCTCCCTAGCCTTGGGCAGCCAAAAGACCCGTCGATGACGTCACGGAAAGCAAATGTCTTTCGCCTTTTCTCGCGTTTAACAATTCTTGCGCGGCAAATGGTTTGGGTATTCGGGTTCATAAGGTAAAAACCCACTAGAATTCACTTCTAACTCATTTTTTTCAAGAACCTCCGTAGCTTCCCTTTAACCAATGACAGCTCGCGCTTGGCTATCACGTCATTGCGCGCTGCCTGCAAGTTCTCTGCGTTATCGTTTGATTGGCGTGCTGCTCCTCGCGTCGTGACCTGTGCCCGTTACTTTAAGAATGTAATAGATGTGAATTCAAAATGACCTAGTCTTGATGAATCACTGCTACTAAATACTTGCGTTAAAGAGTAGTGTATCACTTTACTGTTTACATAACGAGTTAATTTCACGTTACTTTGCTCGGATATTTCTAATAAATATAGAAACAGAAAAAAATTATTTTAATGAATTAGTATATAGAATTAGAATAGAATTAGTATCCCCCAACTAACACCTGATCGTGACTTTTGTAAATATTAAAAAGTGAAACCAACCTGTTTTATTTCTATGTCGGTCGCACGATGAAAGATGCAGTAAAAGCTCCGCCTCTAGAGCGCGCGCGCTTTATACAACATACAAACATCCGGCAGACATCTTAAGGATGTCCAGATCGGGATGTTAGAAATGTCCCATGAATGTGTTAATCACATTATGAAAACGTCCCAGGTAAAACAGCGACAAATATCAGTGGTATGTTACACAATGTATGTTTTTTTTTTACTTTTTTGGACATTACATATCTTTTTATAGTCGGCTACACCTTCTCACTATGGCTTTTAGAGTGAAAACACATAGGCACATAATGGTCTCGTTTGAAACAAGTAAAACTTTATTAATAGTATCTCTGATAAACAACCGTTGTTCTTAGATTTTGCACTAGCTTTGGTGCCAGAGAAGGAAAGGTCCGCGGAGCCCTAGCAGATGCACTTCAAGTAAAAAATAAACCTTATTTTGTTGCCATACATAATTTTATATGCACAACAAAATTACTGAGTAACTGGGCACGATGTGGAGAAGCTGTCTTGGACGATGCGACGGACCAGCGAAGGATCTGCAAAACCAGACAATGACGCTTGTTGCTGTTACATCAGTAATGTTTGTCCCAATGTTATAATGGCCGTTAGTGTGGCGAATGTTGGTGCTTCAATATAATGCACAGGTTATAGAGGACAATTCTCTAATAAAGCAGATACTGACAAGCCTGACTTATTAAAATTATAAATTAAAATAGCAGCAAAAATATGTAATTTTTTTATTGCTCACCTTGCTGCAGCGCAGCAAAGTACGTAAAGCAGCTCAAAATACTGCTTAGAAACTCACTACCAAGCTGAAAATGATTGTGTCATTTCGCAGCAAGCACAGGACCATAATCAGGAACATCTGTAGTCGAACTTTATATCAGCCTAAAACTTGCAGCAGCTTACACGCAAACGTGCACGATTGCACTCGCATACAGCCAATTTGAATTTTACTGATTGGTGCTGGAGTTATGTATATGAAGACAGTCTTAAAACATGCGGTAAAAAGCTTTGGAAGAAGCTGCAGGCAAATAAATGGAGGTTTGTAGCAAAAACCAAACCCAGGCCTTCGGCCGTCGGCCAAGTTGGAGACAGTAAAACTTCCAAAGCTTAAATTGAAAACAAAATTATATGCACTATCACGGTGCAGAAAAGGCCCAGAATATTCAGAGCTTTATATAACATGAAAAGAAAGACCTTGGAGAAGCCCCCTTATACATTTCAAACATACCAGCTTGCTATGAGTTCTTGTGAAACTATGCGGCTTTAAGTGCATGTTTGTCCAGGACTGTTAGATGCAACCAAAACTATTAGAGGGCTGTATTCAGCGTTGGTTGTATTGCAGAGAACGTGAAAACGTTAGCCTTTGGAAACCAAAACTTACCAGACTTGCGGCCAAATGTACGATGACTGCACATGAGCACGCAAAAGAACAGCCTCATACAGAACTGTGAACAAAACCACAAAATAAATTTAGTTCTACCACTCAAATGTGTCGCACGACGGACGCAATGATACGATGTTGTAAGCAGTCGTTTTCAGTACGACAGCCGTAATCTGCCCACTTCGCCGCCTCGGTGGTTTCGAAGCAAAACTCAGGCCTACGGATCCGCAGGTGGCGGGTTCGAATCCCACCCAAGGTGCCCGCAAGATAACGGAGGCTTATTACAGAGAAGGCGCCACGTAATCGACATTTCTGTTTCACATCAAAATGTCACCAGGTGGTCTAAAATAATTCTCAGGCCTCCTCCGGGTGGGGCGTGGCAGATGCCATTCGTGGTTTGGCATGTAAAACCCTAAAATCGGACTTGTCGCCTATGACCATGGCCTGCCTTGCCTTTTTCTTAGACGGATGGCCTCTTCGAGGGCTGAAACTGCCTGAACACTTTCTTTGCTCAACTTAAATCAAGTAGGATAGTGTGAGCCTGAAATATCGGCAAGCAAAATATAATCGTACTTACACTGGGCAGTCGTGGCGGCTTTATCAGTTTCTTGCGCAGCCTGCGTTACACTAAAGTCGTGAATTAAAACACAATATAATACCACCAGCAATGTTCCGCCTTCAGAAATAAGTCGATAACCTTTAAGAAACTTTAATATATCCCTGGAGAAGCACCGTTAATTTGTTAATAAAGATTCAAAACACGGGGTTGCGGCATTTAAGAGTCCGCGGTTCTTCCAGTTAATTTATTTGCCACTGTCAGTTTTTGGTTCATGATAATAATATTTATAATAATCTTTAATTCTTCGCTGTACCCATAAGGAAGCTGTACATATAAAAATTGAAGTATATCGGATTTGTGTTTGTCCATTGCCCTTATGTTCCCCTTCTCCAGAGATTATTTTCGTCACTCTTCTCTAGCTTGCTTGCACCTTCGTATTTAATTGCATTATAATCATTATATTTCAAAAGCAAGAGACCCAAATAATAAATAAATAAGATATTGCCCCTGTTGACATGCAAGGCATTCATTCTCGTACACGCCGAAGAAATCCCGTCTGGAGATAAACATAACAAAGGTACCTTTACTAAAGGTGTGACGCCTATGATAAACAAGCTGAGAAAAATTGGATCTGTTCCGGCTGACATGGGTGGGAAGATGGAAATATTTAGACTGGTATAAATGCATCAAATTTACATTGCACTAGGCAGTCTGCTCCACAGACTGTCTAGTGTAAAAGAAATGAAATTTCTGTACCGTCTCCTCCAAAACACCTTATGCAATGTAAACCGGCGTAGCAATGATTTGTAATGGTAGAAATGCTCTCTGTCCATAACTATCATACAAAAGTCTAATTATTTGTTTGTGGGCATTTTCGATCTAGTGGCCTGCGTAAGAGTCAAGGAATTGCAGAGAACAGAGCTAAACAACAACCCTGATTTAACTATAGGAACATAAAAATGTAGTAAAGAAAGAGAACATAATTGACGTCATAATCGTGAAATCATACCTTACACTCTTAAGAGAGCCTTCACGCTTATAATGATGCAGTTTTTGGAAGAAATTTAGATAGAGACGCCAAGATCCCCGATGAGAGATACCGGTGCAATGGAAACGCCACCAAGGCTGTAAGAAAAGCAAATGACATCACGCTTTCTGATGGCACCATAGATTTTGTCTTCTGGGGCTTAAGTGACATAGTTTTCTGAACACTTTTTAAAAATAAAATCATTATAGGCTTGAAGACGAGAACAATCAGATACCGACTGAACACTTAGAAAAGGTTTACATGATCAGCAGACAAAATAGTTATTACTTTTAGTACATTGAACCATATCGTTTATTAACAAAGGGTCGAAAATCGGTCCCAAGACCGAGCCTTGGAGTTGGGGCACAATGGAAGTTACAATAAACCCATTGGAGCACGTACCAAAAGCATGAACAGGGTTATGGCGATCGCTCAGATAGCTATTAAAGCATGCACATTAGAAGCGGACCGAGGCTACGCAGCGCAAGCTTATGGAGCAATAATTCTGAACTAACTCGATGAGAGGCTTTGAATGATGGTCACAAAGCGGTGGCGATTGAAAGCTCTGCTCGAATTATTAAAATAATCGTGCTATAATGTGTAAATTAAAAATACTACAAAGTCAACTAAAGATAGGTACTTTGTAAACTTTGTTAATCATATAAAACTGCCACAATCTTACGGCCAAATACATAACGACTTATTTGCCGTATAACCCTGAATCACTTTGCAGACCTTATATGTGTGTGCGGTTCTTGTTTTAAACCAATGTGCCGAGAAACTGAGGGAGAGAAGGAGACACGAGGCGCGGGGACATCAGAACGCCGAGTGTAGGTTCGAATGATTAAGCACTTAGTGGGTAGACCTAAAGCTCAACTGGAACTCGTGTCCACTGCACTTGTAGAACGCGTTCGAATGCGAAAGCCAAACGCCAGACGCGAATGTTTTAACACGTTCGGGAAGTTCAGTCGAGACAAAAGCAGCAAGCTTTTGGTCTACTCACTAATCATTCCAACCCAAGCTCAGCATTCTGACTTCCCCGCGCCTCTTGTTTCCTTCTCTCCCTCAGTTTCTTGGTGCACACTTTGATTGATTACCGAGTTACATATCTTGAGAGATTGGTTTCCAGCCCCTCCCCCCTCCCCCCAATTCTTCCTGAATTACAGTATAGTCCAGTACATTTAAGGCTTAGAAACTTATTATTGTAATTTAATACATTTTATTTGACCCATCTCACCAAGCGTTCGGCTCATGCGTGACGCCGCCATAACTTTAGCTGGCAGAAGACAGGGACCAGTGCACAAGACGGCTCCTGCCGTCTCATGCTCTACACGTGCAGAGTTCCAGTCAGGTTGTTGCACGTGCAGAAAGACCTACACAACACTTACATTTTTAGTTAGCAAGTTCAATAAATTGTATTCCCAGCTAGACTGAACTCTTTAACCTAGTATTGTTTTACAAATTCCCACCAACACTGGAAATATTCCCTGATCAGAAGGTGCGGCCACATTTTAATAAGATCGAGGCTAACCTCTTGCGGAGCAAAGGAAGTCTCTTCGTAGTTTCGTCCACAGGTCCAATGAACCTGTAAATACTTATTCTTATAAGCTATTTGATAAGTTATGGTCGGAAGGTACGGCCATTACAGCTCTATGTGGGAAACACTTGTGCAGATTTGGGTGACCACGGAGAAGCAGGGCAAGCGAGCCGCCACCTTCTTTTGGCCGGGCTCGGACGTGGACATTGGCGGCACACGGCCCAGTCACTTTTTCAAGTACAACGAGTAAGGCAAGAAATAGGGAGAAAATTCGTATATTCGAGCTAAACCTTTCTCTTTGAATTTTTTGATTCTTACCAAAACGTTGTGAACGCTTCTCAAGCGCCATGACACTTTTGGCGCTGCCTGATCGACTCTATCGTGCTGGACGAGCTTGGGTGCTTAATGTGAAATGCGGTGTGCATTTCATATTAAGCACCCGAGCTCGTCCAGCACAATAGAGTCGAACAGGCAGCGCCAAAAGTGTCATGGCGCTTGTCGCCTTTGTACATTACCGGCTTAACAAATCACTCTCAGTGAATGTGGCGTCATCCTGCGCTTTTTTTTGTGTGCTTACTGTGGAGCGAGCGTCGTCTGCTTCTTGAGCAGGGGTTAGGATGGTGTCAGAACGCCGAGCTCTTATTGGCTGATTTAAAGAAATAGTGTGTAGACCTCGAGGCATCTAGCATTGAGGTCTACCCACTATCCTTTCAATCAAAGCCAATCAGAAACCGGCGCCGTTCTGGTGCCACCGCAACCCGTGCTCAAGAAGGAGACGACTTGCTCTACCAATCGGTTTAGCCCGTTCCACCAAGCGCACAAAGACAACGAGCGCCCTGACGATGCTCTTTAGTAGCTGTCTGACTGGCTGCATTGGATCCTAGCGTAGACTGTGATAGGATTTAGTCTGAAACGGAGTATAGCCCTATTGAAAAAAAACAGCTCGAAAATCTAACTGGTCAAGCAGGTAACTAAGCTGGTCAAACTGGTCAATGTGGTCAAACTGGTATAACTGGCAATCAAGCAGGTTTAAGCTGGGCAAGCTAAAATTTGAGCTGGTCAGTCTGCTTTAAAACCAGCAAAGTGGTCAAACAGCAGCTTCTTCTTATATAAAATTAAGTGATGGATGGTTGACAATAAAAGCAGGAAACAAATTCAGTCATCGTGTTTTTGACTATTCTCTGAGAAGGACTCGGATAATAGCCCCAGGATAGACAGGTAGATAGATATTTTACTTCGGCTCAGGAAAGTCGCGGCGCCACCGAAAGACAAGTCGCCCATATAGTGAAGACCTGCGGCGCCAAGTTCAAAAACGACGAAATGGTATTCTACGGATGAATCTAAAAAGAAAGGTGATTATGGTTCAAAGGGAGCTTACGAACGAGGGTGAGTGGTTGACGTTGTGGTTGAAGAAGGTGAAGTGCGTTAAGCCTGGCGGTGGTCTCGCGACGGTGGTCTTCGGGGGCCGTTATGGGCTGCTGACTTTTAGCAGGCCGGTCTCTAGCGCCTGGCGAGGGCTCTCTGCGTGCCCGACTTGCAGACGAGCCGGCCGAATTTCCCTGCCACGCAGAGAGACCAGCATTCCTGTGGTGGGGTTCCAGGAGTTGGCGCCGGTGTTGGCTTGGCGACGATCTTCGCGAGAGCCAGCCTTGAATTGTCCCGGCTTGCGGTCGAGTTTGGTAGTGGCCGATATGTTATGGTCTAATCTCCGACTAGTACTCGGAGAATGCGCCGAGAAACTGAGGGAGAGGAGAAGACGGAAGCTCGAAGGAACGTCAAAACGCCGAGCTCTGGTTGGAAGGATTAGTGGGCAGACCTAAAGCTATAGCTGCCTTTGTCTCCGCGGCACTCGCCAAACACGTTCGAATGCGAAAGTCAAACGCCGGACGTTGACGTTCCGCGTTTTGACACGTTCGAGGAGTGCAGTGGCGACAAAGGCAGCCAGCTACACCCATTAATCCTTGCAACCAGAGCTTTGCGTTCTGAAGATACCCCCGCGTAAAGGGAGCGCATGACGCTCCTTTTGCTTTTGGTTTCTCGTGCTTCTTTTTCTTCAAACGAACTTCGTTTGACAGTAACTGTTTTGTATGCCACCAATTACCAAAGTCTTTTAAGGCAGGATTCTTGAGGACGAGGCTCAGATCACCGATGTTAGATGTCGACAGCTGCGTCTGCGCTTCGCGGGTTGCCGCGGGGGCCCGCTCCGTTGCATTGGTGTCCTTCAAAACTGACCAGCGAAATCTCTAAACGCTGCCTCTAAATACGAAGCTTGTTCAAAGTGTGTACTCGTGCTCTTCGAATAGTGGCGTGTTCCTTCGAGACTTAAGGCTCAACCAGTAAATATATGTTTTATGCTTCCGGCCTTATTCTTCTCATATCATTTTATTGTAAGGCTAATATGTTTCAAGAATGTTTGGAATTTACGTTAGGCGTATCGTTACACGGAACAGACATCGAACAATTACAAATTGTTTTAGATTGAAAGTCAAAATTCTTGCTCTGTAAAACTGATTACTCACGCCCTCGTTGCAAAATCACCAGGTTTCACAACAATTATCGCAATAAAAATTTAAAGTTATTTGGAGCGCATGCGCAGGCAGAGGCAGCGTACTTTGAATGCTGTCATCGCGTTGGGGATGTTCTGTCATTCAGATATCTTCGCTTCCGAGTTTCCAGTTACTTGCCTTTCTTTCGGAGACACTTGCTACACTTATCGCAGGACTGTGCAGGGTGCCTAGAAAGACTTAGAGAAAAGCTGGTTAAGATGAGACGCCAAACATACGCAGCACAAGCCACCAATAAGAGGACGAGAAGCTCCCTGGCAATGGCAGGTCAAGTAGCCATGTGCTGACCGTCAGAGCTTTCAAGATCGCACTGCCACATTTTAGAAATCGCATCTATTGGAAGCTTGTTTCAGGAGCTTATTTATATCGCACTTAGCACATATGCTCACGTGAGGACTACATACACATTTAGAAATGAGTGGGTGTATGCTTATCCAATGCTCATTCGGCGAGCCAGTTAGCGCCAATGTGGAGAAAATCATGATTTATTTTTAATGATAAAATAAATAAGATGTATTTGATCTAAATCGAATTTATTTTATTTAAATCAATTTGTTTGTTTATATTACTGCAGGCGGAAACAGTAATTCTTTGTCAATGTACGGATTTTAAACATTTCAGGTTGATTGATCATTCCATTCGATCATTGAAAACAATACGGAACAGGAAATTACAGTACATTTTAACTTTTAATTAAATGTAATAAACGACGTTAAACTAAAAAAGCAGCCTATTTTCTTAGCGATAAAGTTGCATTCGCTCTTTCTTTCAAATTGAGATTTGCTTGCAGTATTGCAGCGTGCGTGATCGAGAAGGACCGCTTCTCCGTTCATCTAGAAGATTCGCGTATACTCTCACCCCGAGTGTAAAAGGGAAGGAGGTCAGCATGACCTTGCCTAGTCAGTCTCGCCCTAGCTTACTTCAGAACATTCTAGGCCGAATCATCGAGAAGCCGAGTGTGGTGGATAAAGAGCTGACCGTGGCTTTGCTGACTGTCTTTGACTCTCCCGAAGACAAGGAACAGTCCCTCTCGCTCTAGCCAGCTGTCACGCCGACGGCCATCGCTCGCTGCTGCTTTCTGGACGTTTTTACCTTTCCTTTGTTTATTGCATAAGGTCGCCTATTAAACATTATTTTCAGTTTACGCGCGTGAAGCATTTTTCGTGCGCGACAATTCGACATTCCTTTTCTCGTATTAGTTTCTTTGGCGCTTTGATTTGCTTGCAGTATGATCTTACGTAAAAAGCAAACGAAGGGGAACGTAGAAAAAAAGCTCGACACTCTGATTTGCTGAGAAGGGTTGTTCGCTCGATTCTTTGATTTAAATACTAAACAAGTGCACATTGAAAGCATCAAATAATAAAGAAACAATTAAAAAATAAATTGCGCAGAAAATTGGTTAAGTGGACTAGTTGGTTCATTGATCGAAATTATGAGAGAGCTAAAATGAACAAGGACCAGGAAGTAAGGCATCATAAGGCACTGGAAAGAACCTGTCCTGTCATCAGCATTTCTGTGCAAAGCTTGTTTGATTTAGTCAAACTTTTTTTTTCTATGGCAATTTTTGCCTCACTATGCAATCTATTGGTTTATCTCAAATTTCGTATGCCTCATGAAATTCTCCCCTTGTCGTGTTTTTGTACCAGGCTAGAATCTTAATGTCACGTAACACAGGCTTACATGGGCTTCTAGTGCATGAAATGACAAAATGGCAAAAACGCTAGCTCGCGTTGCAGCCGCATGCTCGAGTGCACGGTCATTCACGCATCTGCCCGTCTGGACAGTGTACACGGCGCCGCGCGACAGGGCTATCTCGTAAACAACACCTGACGCACACTCGGGATTTTATATTTGTGCTTTGTGCTGCAAGAATTTGACAGCTTCTCGTGGATTTGATTTTGTCGCAAACCCGTACCTTTTTACAGGCTCCGTTAAATCTATGTGAATGTTGAAGCGCTAAGACACTTTGTTTAAATTGTGGGACATTGAGTGTAACTAGGGGATCACAGCAGGTCTTACATTCGGCCTCTCACGGGAGGGTTTTCTTGTGCCTCTTATCTCTTTTAGCAAACATTCCGCTACTTCAGGTTAACCAACACGTCCTAGATGAGAAGGCCTAAGTGCTTTCTGCGTCACTGAAGAAGGCCACTGTAGGCCAGGAATTTGAAACGTGTGCAGCGTCAGTGTTCGTTTGGAACTCGTGTCCAATCAGTGAGCACATGACCCCTAGCCGAACGCTGGCGCCGTTAATAATTTTCAGTTTCTTCAATAAAAATAATGAAACAAAAAATCATCTACGCATCCAAAGATATTCGTTTCGCTGTCGTCTCCCAGCTTCTCCAAGTTGGCGGCATCGCAGCTTCTTTAAAAGAATATCACACAAAACTGGTTCAAAACAGAAACCTATGCGGATACCTTTTCTCTGTACAAACGTTTGAGGATTATGTCTGCTTTAAAAGCTTGATTTAAATCATCATTTTAAAACCGGTGTGGGTTTAAATAACTATTAAAAATAACTGCGTTTTTATTCTCCACTCTGGCCACTGCACTCCACAACTGCAACATGGCGAATGAAGAGTAGAGGTCTGCGAATATCAAATTTGTTTGAAGCGAATCAAATCAAATAATAAAGTTTACGAATCAGATCTAATATTTTTGAATACGAACTGTAGTTTCAAACAAAAAAAAAAATTTTGAAAACAAAAATTTCCTATGTAATGTGAATTAAACAAGAATGCTCAATCAAAATATAACTTGAATTTTTTTTTCACACACAGTTATGAAAAGGTCAATTTTATTGCAATAAGAAAGATGTCATACATGTGACCGGTGTTGGGAAGTACTTACTTGAAGTGCTACTTCAAGCAGACTTAGAAAAAACATACTTGGAGTATATTTTCTGAGTATGTACTTGTATTTTACTAAAATTATTTTTTTCTGGCTCTTTCTGAGGAACGTACAACTCCGGACTTCAAAGTACATTCCCCCAATTTTGTCATGTTACATTTTTATCAAAAAATGATGCTTTGTCAACAAACATCTGTCTTATAACTTGATTGTGTCAAATAGTTCATCAGCCAGAGTGAAACAAGTACACGGTGACCGCTTGACCTGATCCAATATTCGCCGTCATTTCTGAAATAGAAGCTATAAATTAAGAACACATTGTTGTTTTAAGGCGAAGGGACCAATTCTCACTTTTATCAGTGAAAACGGGCATAAATAAATAACAAAAGGAATACTGGCAAACTGATGAACCGGAAAATCAAGCGCGAAAATAACACGAACTAGATATCGCCGATACCTGAGATTAACCATAAATCCATATTCGAATCCATAGCACCTTCCGTCGCGTTCTGCTCACGACGATGCACGTGGCGTTGTGAATTGTAGTCCTTCATCAAATATATCGCAGCGTGTGCGCCACGACCACTTCGCCATCTCCGCAATCCAGAAATCATGAAAAGCAAAGGACAGATCGCGCTACCGCGTGCAAATAACTTTCCAGTGCTTCACAAAAAAAAAAAAAAAGTACCGTATTTACTCGCATATTGGTCGATACGTCGTATAGGTCGACCCCCTAACTTCGGGACCCCCGAAAAAAAATAAAAGTTGAAAAATATAATACCGGGATTCGCGTATTGGTCGACCCCCCAGTTTTGATGAGGCGATTTTTGAAAAACAGGTCGACCTATACGCGAGTAAATACGGTAACTTAGGTTGGGTTTTTGGGTTTGCTAAGCTCAAAACCATACTGCGGAGTTCAAAAACAAAACAGAGCACTCGATCGCGAGTTGACACTAAACATAGAGTCTAGGGCAAGGCACTGAACGGGACAAAAGCACTGAAGAAATAGTGCTCAGTGTCACACTGTACATTTCATTTCTTGGTCTTAACGAAATTTCAACCCGTCGATCGCCAAGCTCTCTAATCACACGGCATAAGGTACTTGCGGCATCGCCTTCTTTTCGCCATCGTGCCACTACATTCTTTACCAAAATCATTTCTGAATACGATGGAGAAAGCTGAGGACGGGTGCTTTTGACTCAAGCAGCAAACGTTGAATCGAAGTTGCCAGTGGGCATCACCGAGCGAGCCTTCAACAGGAGCTTGTCGGTACAGGAAGATGCCGTGGCAGAGTCGGGTGGAGGTGTTGCTGGCGTGGCTGGACCTCCCCGCTGAGCGGCGTCCGGCGTTCCTCAGCCTGTACGTGAACGAACCCGACAGCGCCGGTCACGACCACGGCCCTCACTCGGACGAAGTGGACGAGGCCCTGGATCTGCTGGAAATCATGCTCGACCGACTTCTGGCGGGACTCCAGGAGCGCCGTCTACTGGGATGCGTCAACTTGCTCATCGTCTCCGATCACGGTAGCCCAGTTTTGGCGGCAATTCTTGGCGGGGTTTCGCCGTGGATCCCGGTGTGTGTTCCGTGAACGTACTTCGTGACCGTACTTCGTGATTTAGGAAGATTTTTTTCTGCGTAATTTAAAGGAGGAACTTCGCCGCTAAATTCAGCGGAAATTTAGTGTTACATGATATTATAACGCGACGCCACAGTGTCACATCTACACCGTCCGCTAAACTTAGAGATACTTTAGCCCTCTAAATTTAAGCAGGGCAGTGAAGGTGTCTGCAGCAGTGTGCAGTGCCACGGCCGCCACCACCTTTCATTTTCAGGACAGGGCAAGGAATCGAAATTGTTTTTCTAGTTACCTCACGTCTGCCATGATGTCTAAGTGCTTAACACGTTTTCTAAAGTTATCCCCCAGCGTGAACCTTTGTTGTCTAATCCGTTGGGGGGGGGGGGCTTTAATTAATTTAAAATGCAATGTTAGTTACTACATGAAAAGATGCCAAGGGACAGCTTCTTCCAGGCGATGAGAGACAGTCTTAGTGAAACCTGAGTGGTCATTCGAAGACTTCCAGGTTGTTACGTTTTTCATGTGTTTTGTTTTTTAAATTAATTTCGGCTATTTTTGAGTTACGCTTTCTGCTAGTTTTGCAACATAAAATTTAGTCGATAACGGCCGTCGTTTGACACTTCTGTTTGCGTTGCCGGGCAACGCTGCGGCAAAGAGAGCGCAAACATAGGAAGAAGGGAGGGTGAAACAAATAGGGAGCCGAGCCTCTAACACATTTCATAGAAGCGACTGAAGTCTGGAGAGGTGTGAAGTGGTAGTTCTGCGATGAGATATCATGTCGAGGACAGACAAAAAGTTTAAACCGGTTTTACCTGGCAGCTGATTCGTCGGGGGTCACCATGTTTTTGTTTGTATGCTGTGGGTCGGCCCCCAACTGGGCTTTGAAACATTTCAAATGACAGGACTGTTATTGCTATTGTTTATTACATTTCGGTCATGCAAACTGCATGATTGTTTGATAAATTTTGCTAATACATACTGGAACTATTTTATTTCTCCATAAACACGATTTCTCTTTAGAATGCGAAGAAAGCATATAGATAAATTCGTTAAACTCAGAGGCGTATATGTAGAGAGTTTGGCCATTCGTTAAGAAGTATAGGAGACAAATGAGGAGGCGCCATTGGTCGAAAGCAGGCTGGGCGTGTTCCAGGGCGTCTTCAGAAATTCGAATGAGACCAACCAGAAGCCAGAAATAACGCCCTGGCTGTGGTCGCGAGAAGCAAACCTAACAACTGCATCGGAGTGACTCTCGGTGACTAAAAATATGGCACACATGATGTTTCAATCTCGCTCATCCAAAATGTTGGTGTAAGAGTGCGACTAGCGGAACGATCGACATAATCCTTACGCCAAGCGCCGAGGGCCGGGAATCTGCCGTCCGAGTGGTCACACTCTGTCCGAGCAAAACAGAGTTGAGCGGCGCGTTCGTTTCTTACATCTTTCTGCATGATCATAATCAAAAGAACACGTGCACCCTATTTTCAACCACGAAGAGTTACTACACTTCACGGCTACTCGCTTATTAAATCCATATACTAACATACAGCTTTGATCAGAACTGATCCTCGCTACCACCGCTAGGGGATTAATTTCGGTTTTTGGTTGGCCAAGAGAGCATGCCTAGCCTTCTTTCCAAATCTGGTGCACGCCCTGGCTCCGCCCGCGCCTCCCATTGACCAAACTCTCTCTATACACAACTCTGGTTAAACTCAAATGTTTTTGATGCGCGATAATAAGAAGTCAATGTAATTTATGTTAAGAATGAAAATGCTAAAGCGCAAGCGTAATGCCAATAAACTCACGTCTAGCAAAGCAAATTGTTGTGTGTATGTTTATACAGCCGGAAGTTAATCTGCCTCAGTGGGCGTCTGGTGCCTCAGTGGGCGTCTGGTGCCTCAGCTGTAGATGAGCAATTTAGCCAGTGCAGTACAACCGCTAGCCTGGGGTGTTTAACGTGCACCAGGCAGTAGTGATAAACGACCGCACGCCGGTACGGTGCTCATCCAGATCGAAGCGGGTAGGGGCGGGGATTGACCCAGGATCCTGGGTTCTGCAGCGCGAGCTTTTGCTCCGCGAGCTCCGAGCTGGTGTGTGCTAGACCACTTGGCCACCGATACCCCCCCCCCCCCCCCAAAAAAAAAAAAAAAAAAAAAAAAAACTCACGTCTTAATTTGCCCGTTTTATGAATAAAAAAAACATGCCCAGAAAAAGTGTGGACAGTATATCTACAGGCAGTTTTATCATGCATATCTGTCGACGTTTAAATTCTATAAAACGTTTGCGTTCTAGCGCAGATCTCTTTCGTTTATCAGCCATGCCCAGTGGCGGCTTTGTGTTTGCGCGCAGGTATGGCGAGCACCAGTTGCGACCAAGTGATCGCCCTGGAAAAGTTCGCTGACCTGGCCGGCTTCTACTCGCTGGTGGGTCCGACGGCACGGCTCCGGCCCAAGACACCCGGCCCCGAGGCAGTGGCCCAGCTGGTGGACACGCTTCGCTGCCAGAACAGCCACCTTCTCGTCTACGCCAAGGAGCGACTGCCCAAGCGCTACCACTATTCCTCCCACCGGCGCATTGAGCCCGTCGTGTTGGACATGGACTCCGGCTACCTGGTACTCAAGTACGGCTTGACTGATGTACCCTTTTTTGAGATAGGAAACTAGACTCGGTCTTCATCAATATTTTAAACACGATTGTGTCGTGCGTGCATCATGCCTGCGTTATGATTTGATAGGCTTGATTACGAGGAGTTCCGCGCGGTTTCCAATGCGCTTCCCGGGTCTACCCTAATGATGGAGAAAATTTCAAATTTATTCAGAAACGGTTACATGATGCGCGGACAGCTGGCTTCCAAATTGCAAAGCTTCGCTTTGTCGTTCGGGACCCAGCTGCGAGCGTCGAAGGTCGCCCGGAACCATAGGCTTCACGGTCCGGGGTTCGATTCCCGCGTTGTCGCTTGACAAATCTGGCTATTTGTAATTAATCATGCGTAATTATGACTGAAAATAATAATTAGTGACTAAGTGTTCCTTCTACTAGCTCGCAGGCTTAAGCCAGCTATGGTCTATGTTTGCTTCCTTGGTCCGAGTGTGACAGTTTTCCGTTACACTCGAGCGTAACACTTTCTCGTGAAATGTACCCCTGAAACACATAATGTGTTAAAAAACTATTTTGGGTGCTTTCAAAAGGTATATAAACCTAATGCAATTGTGTTTGTTCACGTTTCACACAAATTAGCGGATGACTGATCACTAATTCAGATTGCCTAGGAGAGGTAACTCCGCCGTCATGGGGATTCGGGAGTATGTGGTGACCTTAGGAATGAATATGTGCCATGACCCACGACACATTTCTAAAATAACGACTCCTGTAGGAACGTTAGAAAAAAAGGGTACCCGAAATGTTTAAGCTCCAACAACCTTTACATATCTGCACACCTTCATTATTTTTACGAATATTTTTATAGTGTTTTTATTTCATGATTACACAGCCACCTGCTACACCAGTCATGCTACATGTTTGGCTTCCTAAAATTTATAAATTTTGTAAAGGAAATAGGACAGCCTTTCTTAGTTGTGCAGCCTATCGCAGGAACCCGAAGAGCGTTTGCAGCATATAAAGGCGTGCTCCAGATGTTTTTTCCTGCTGATCCACAATAGACTTGTGTCTATCCCGAAAGCTGTTAAAATATGTTTCCCGCGACATGGGCGCAGCAAGGCGGCTGACAAGACGGCCGCCTCTTGCGAGGGAGGTTCGCACGGATACGACAACCTCGCTCCCGGGATGCAGTCCATCTTCGTTGCCCACGGACCGGCCTTCAAGCAGAACGTGACGGCCAGACCTTTCCGCAACATCGAGCTGTACGAGCTAATGGCCGGTACGTGTTCTTGAGCCACTGTAACCTGAAGAAAAGTAGATTTCGGTCTCTGCTCCTAATATAACTGATGAGCGCATTAAACACCGATGTACTAACAGAAGAAAGGTGTGCCTGAAAAGAAAAAAATATATAGAAACTCGGAACTAGTTTCCGACACGTCGTCCGCCCACAGAGCTCATGTCCATCGAGCCCCGTCCCAACAACGGCACACGAGGATCCCTGCACTACCTGCTCCGGAGACCGGCTCCCTTACCTGAACCGCCGAAGCTGAGGACACCGGCGACTTGCGTGCCGCCGCCTGACACTCCCGCGGACGAAGACGACGGCTGCATGTGCAAAGGCGTGCGTATCCGAAACATACGAGCGAGCCTCTCGGGCTTGCGGTGTTACTTCCTGGCAGTTTCGGCTTGCATCGATGCACTCTTGAGGAATTCCTGCCGCCTCAACAGTGGCAGCCGGGGTTTCGCTACGTGAGTTTGCTCATTCAGGGGGCGTTGTTTACTGGTCCCCTAAAGATTTTTGTCTTAGCGAAGCGCATAGACTGCCATTCTCAGGCATCTATAAGGTTCATTTAAAGGTTTTCGATTCTTTGCTTTGCGTTTTCTTTTGATGTGTAATCTGCAGGAATAAGTCGTTAAAGTAAAATTTCGTTTCTTGGCCACATAATAAACTAAGCTTCACAGAAAGCTAGACCTCCGTATGAATGTGACACTAGCATAAAATGCTGATCTAATGCGAATGTTTGAGCACATGAGGCTACCTAAATGAAAAAAATAAAAATTATCCACGAGCCGATGCCGACGTTAGCCTAATATTTATCAAACTGAATGTTGAGATTGTGGGCTCGTAGCAACTATATCAGTGAAACAAGTCAACAAGCAATAAACAATATCGTTCCTCTAGCTGATAACTTTTTTCAGTGAAATAAGTGTTCCAGACGTCATCGATATCAATTTTTGGTTTGATTAGTGTTGGACGTCGGATCATAAACACTTTTTTTTTTACTTTTCATCCAGGTGACGTCATGTGATTAAACTTCCGCCTTCAGTCACCAACGCTAGCGTACTACTGTCACAGGGTTTCAGCGATGCATAGTTCATTTATGTGAGTTAAAAAATTACACCATCTTCCGAGGGGAACCATGGGGTGATGCGGAGCATCGCGGATCGTTATTAACGGTGTTATTAGAGAGTTTTAGGGAACCGGAACAAAATACGATCGATAAACAAAAACGATCGATACCTTGGATCGGGCGTGTGGACCGATCGTGTGCCCTGAAACGGCTTTGGGGGAACCGTATTTGCAGACGATAGCAGACGATCGGTGCAGGTCGCGCCCCCTGGCAACGGAAACCTGCATCCGCCTCATCGAGAAAAGACAAATTTGCGTTTGTTTGTACAAATCGCAGAAACTTAAGTAAATAAAGATCGCACCCTAAATATATAGAGAACCGAAAAAATAGTATACCTACTTATAGTTCGTCTCGTTTTTTTACTTTAATGAATGCGCTTCCGTAATACAAAAACTGGCGCACCACGGCGTGTCGCCCCTAGCACAGCGAAGTTCTAAAATGTTCGTCTCCTAAAGAAGCAGACGAGCTTTCCGACAACAATGGCGCTCGATCTTTTTGACCATGACTTGGAGTTGCCTCTATTCAGCGAAAGCAATTTAGAAAAAGTGATTTTGTACGACTGTCTGCGCACTAAGTGTGGCGTGAGTCTCTTTTGAACTTCCCGCTTTCTATAAGCGAGGCACGCACGCGCGTGCCGTGGGGCCCGTGACTTGTGCAGGGGCACGAGGGAATAAACATTCTCTTTGGTTTGCCGTGACACGGAGTCAGTCGCATTTCTTTCGGGTGCCACCGAGCACCGATACACTAAGAGAAGGCGCTTGTTGGCGGCAAGGCATAGGACGTTCAACTTGGCGTAGCTTTTGAGTAAACAAAAAAGTTGTGATACCAGGAATGATGTGCGGATACCACGAATGATGTGCCAGCCTATTTTGGGTTTTTCTTTCTTTCAGTTTACCAGATTTATATACTTGGGGAATAAAATAATGCCTCGACCGTACATGGTAACTTGTTTTCAAATAGATCATGCGTTCTCAGCGGGCAAACTTCGGTGTTTTAAATCAACAAATATGATGTTTACACCAACCACCTCCTGATATGCTGAAACGTTGCCGAAAGCAAACTCGATTTGGCACAAGAACACGCTCGCGCGCGCTTATCATCAACATTCGAAGTCGTCTGCTAGCGATCCTGTCTTTTTCCCTCGAGGCCCGATGCAGGATGGAGTATTAAGAAAGCTATGGACAAATAAAACTAGAAATATTAAATCTCGAAGAAAATACAAAAATAACTAAAATATACTCACTTTCTTAAGTTGATGCGGTCATTTTTCTTGTACAAAGCTAATTCAATTCAATTTTCAATTCAATTTTCAATTTAATTCAATTTTTATTTTAAGATCAAGTCATACAAAATAAAGAGCTGGCCCACAAAAGCAGCATTCCGTTTGTATGTGGGGCCAGGCAACCAACTACAATACATGTTGTTACAAAAAAAAACAAAAAAAAAAAACACTCCGCAGCACAAAAAAAATTGAAAGGAACACAAAATTAGCAGCACAAATAAATACAAAAAGGAACACTTTAGAGCATGAAATATAGGTGTTTATAGCCAAGCCTACTCACGCAACCATGAAATAAAAGTACGAAATATCTCCAACGGTTAGGCTACGATATCTACAGCTCAAATGCTTGACACCAATTCCTTAATTTCCTTTTTAGTACCCCAGTGGATTCTATAGTCATAAGGGACTCTGGGAATTCGTTACTTTCCATACAGTGTGTATATTTTTGAAATGACGTATCTTTCAGTACGTCTTAAATCTCTATTTTTATTTACGAGGAGGTCAATCCGTTCCTTAGCTCCTCGCAACGATAAGTTCTTTTTCAACGCTGCGTCATTCCAAAGTGCTCGAGCGAAAAAGGAGTAGCGCCTAGCAGCTCCTGAAGTAGAAAGATGTTGTCTACTACTTTAAATCGCTTGCGAGGAAGAGGCGGAGGGACGGAGGTAGATGCGGCGCTCATGTTGCTCTCTTACGGTACATGTAGCAGACGATCACGGTCGTACGCCCGCGTACCGATCGTTGCGCCGTGTACGGTACGACCACGAAGAAAATATAAAGGAAAACCTGTAACTTTACTGCTGTGCACTTAATAAAACTATCACCAAATATTCAAAGGGCTCGTTTTATAGGATATATGTGATTAGCATTTGTACAGAAATGTTTAATTCATGCAACATTTTTAAACTAAAATGTATCCAGAGCCTTGATGCAGAAGGCTGTTGCACACTCTGGTGCCACTACAGATAATCCTGTCATAACAGCAGCTCTAAAAAACGGGTGATAAGTGCTCAAAATGCACATCCAATGTTTGTATAAAAAAAAAAAACTTATAATATGTAAAAAACAAAGTTGTCCTGGGCGAGCGGGATTCGAACTCCCCACTACCGGTCCTCTACGAGCTCAAGAAATCGGCGCTCCAATCCACTGAACTACCGAGCAGACGAGTTTTGCCTGCGCTAAACACCAATTTATTTCTATCGAAAAAGTCCTATTGCGTTTTGTTCTTTATTGTTTTTCTTTTTTGCTGACTCAAACTTTATGGACTTGCTGTCACACATGGCGCTCCTGCCAGGCACTGCCACGAGTTATTTTATTCATGTTTGGAGCCACGGCACGCTCTCTCCGCCAGCGAAATAGCCGTTTTGCTAACGAAGCGAGACTGTCCATGTCGGCCATTGGTCGTGCCGGTCGTGCCTTACGGTTCCACCAGCGCATTACGGTAAGATCGCAGAAAACAGGCGCATGCGCAGTTCGTACCGGAGGGCCCATCGTACCGTATCGGATGTGCAAAAACGGTTCCCTAAAACTCTCTATTAACGGTGTTGAGCTTCACGGTCCCGAACCTCAGGTTCTACTGCTCGACGTTCTCGAACCGCCGCTGCTTCACGTTGTCGTAGTTCAGCATCCGCCGCTCGACGTTGACGAATGGACGCCGCTTCTCGTTGCCGTAGTTCAGGGTCTGCCGCCCGCTTCAAGCGTTTGCGCTCAGCGTCGCGTGCCCTTCGCTGCTTTGTGTTTACCGGACGTAGCGTTGCTGTTAGTTTGGGGGGTGGTGCTGACGCTTGCTTGCGCCAACCCACTAACTGACGGGACTGTTGCTTCCATCACACTTCATCGGAAGAACGGAGTGAAGTGGAGTCAACAGCGGTGAACTGAACGCGCGCAGCGCGCTACCGCTGCTTATATTCACACTTGAAGGAGAAGAGACTAGAGGAGGAGAGCTGCGCATGCGCCCGCGGTGTGAGTAGAAGCGAACGCACGCGAAGTGCACGCAGCTGGTAGAGAGAGAGAGCGGAGAGAGTAACAAGCAGCTGTTGGAGAGAGGGAAGGAGGAGAGTTGCGCATGCATAGTGTGAGTGTGGACTACGACGCCGCGGGACAAAGACCCGAGCAAGAGATGCTCCGCATCTAAAAACCGGGTTTTATTTGTTTGTTTTGTGTAACCCTGTAGTTACTTTTATGAGTAGCTGTCGACCTTGCCTTTTGTGACGGCCGGAATGCTGATCTTGATGTAGCTGAGTTGGCTAAAACAAACAAACCACTTCACATGAAGATGGAAGGGCGTTAGAATTCTGGCGGTTTGTGTCACTAATTATTTTTTTTCCTAGGTATACTCTTCGCGACCTTAATTTATTTACATTTTTGTGTCACCCAATCCAACTATGGCATATTTCACCGTGGCAATTGTCACACAAAAATGGTATATAACTGTAGCTAAACCAAGCAAGTCCTTAGATGTGACTGTTCAAATATATCGGGTTTATCGCTAGGAGCTACGTCGGCACGTTGGGGCAACAAAGGTTGACTCTTGGTTTACTTTTTTTTTTTTACAATTTTTAATCACAAATTGATTTTTGGCACTTGCTCGAACGTTTCGATCGATTAACTTTTTTTTTTCGTGTGTGCTTCTTGCTTTCGTCATTTTCCCATGACGTGTTTCTGCCTGTGTATCCTTCTTTGTTCCTTCTCCCGCAAGGCGAAATTATTTCCGCTGATTATGCGGCTGCTTGTATTGCACCGAACTGCGGCTCTGTAACAATAATTACAAGGGAGGATAGAGGGAGTGCTTTCTGGATCGAAAGAGGTATTTTTTTTATCCGTGAAGCATTTGAAAAAACTAAGGTAGGAAGTCGCGCTGCAACGGTGAAATTGTGGACATAGCAAAGAGAAAAGTCGCTCCGCACGATGGCAAAACAAGTAGATAGATACAGTGCAAAAATTGCAAAGGCTGCGCGCGAAGTCATGTAAGCTTATCCTTGCCCCAGCAGCATCTACCATGAAACACTGAAAAAAGCAAACAAGAGATATATATATAGAGAGAGAGAAGCTAGCGCTGTCGTTCGGTTGCCCTCGCCAGCTCACCTGGGTTTCCTCAGTCGACTCCGTCGTCTACTACAACCGGTTCTGTACAAAACATTCCTGGCATTCATTTAGGCATCGCTGGCGGCGCTGCACGTTTTGTCACAGGCAAATTTACGGTGTCTCGATATATAAGCATCACATTTGACCGTCTTGAGGCGTTGACAACACTCTTGTTTTACTACTGGTTCTGCTTTATCTTGTGTGTTCTGTCGTGTCTTCATATTTCATCGCAGACGCAAGGCGATCTATGAACTCTACGCAGGACCCCGTCCTCTCGGCAGGTCCCGAGGCCCTTGCTCTGCACACGCCCTGGGGAGCCCCGTCCAGCCCCGATGGCGACGAGGCAGACGATGGTCCGCCGTGCCTGCTGGTCAACCACGACTACGTGACGGCATTCGACAAGGCCCTGCGACTGCCTCTGTGGACATCGTTCACGCTAAGTGGGAGGGTGAGGAGTAGGACGTGGCGGTGAATTCAGAAATGTGGAGGTCTAGACGGGAAGGTCTGGAATACGAAAGTGAGTTTGACTTTCGTGTTGATCCAAAAAAACCATATACGAAATGTAGAGCGCCATCTAGTAGCGCACCAAGAAAACGAAACTATTTTCTTGCCGCTACCATCTTGATAGCAACGAAACCAGTGACCCGACCGGCAAAGACCCTATGTAAACAAGCGACCGCGCCAGGCCGATGCAGCCGTAGCATTGGCTATTGTAACGCGCTCCGGGCGTCCGAGCGAGCGAAGAAGCGAGAAAAAGAGCGACCGATGAGCGAAATAGAAAACTAGAGTGACGTCACGACGACGTCGAATATGTTAATAACCCACTCCGGCCACTATAGTCGGTTACAAGTCAAGAAGGTAGGAAAAGCTCCACCCACAAGCGTGATGCGCCCGTTTCAAATCTCTCCGCAGTCGAAAGAAGAGTTCACTGGAAACGCTCCTTGTTCCGCTTCAATGGATTCCCACTTGTCTCCGATCCCACTTTTTTAAAAAAAGCGACCTTTGTATTCATCGGAGAGGGAACCGAGCCCCTGAAAGCAGCGTTTGTATCCATCGTGGGGGAAGCTAATCCCCGAAAGTCGTATTTGTTTCCGTCGGTGGGGGAGAACTCAAATCTCCCTCTCGTGGCTTCCACAATGCTAAGTCAAAGTCGAAAGATAAAGCAAATATGTACAGAAAGGCAAGCCCTTCCTCGCGCGCTGGCCGCGACGTCACGGAAACGGTGGGACGCTATTGGATGCGGAGGTGGCGGAGGGATATATGATTCCCTTTGAGGGGCATTTGCCGCTACCTTCTTAACCTGTAACTGACTATAGGACGGGTACAGCCGTTAAAATCCATGTTTCCTCGGGGGCGCTCTTTTTGTGCTCAAGCGTAGGGTTCTTGTATCCGCCGCCTCAAAACATGATGTTGCAATCGCCGCCTCTACTGCTGCCGGGCCGCCCCTATCCGCCCCTAGATGGCGCAAGTTGTACTGCCGCGTTAAGACCCCTGTATACTTATTATGCCGCGTCCTAGGCGGCCGGTTCAGGACGCGGGCCTAGGCGAACCGGCCGCCCCCCCCCCCCCCCCCCCACACACACACGCACACTCACACACGACTTGCTTCCCGATTTTATTTCTCCTTCGACCTCCTTCTCGTCTTCTGGGGCTTTTATTTTATATTTTCTTATAAATCACTGCTGAGCAACTTCAGAAAAGCTCCTCCTCAAGTGGGTAGGAGGCAAAGAGCCCACATTTACTTTTCATACATACTTTAATTTTTACGCAGATCTCGCACATAAAGTAGACGATATATAGAGATAATAAACTTTACGGAGCAATAGAACGGATAGCACGAGAAACACGTAAGAGCAAAATTAAAGAAATATACATCTATAAATAATATCGCACCAGCATACTGCAGCAGAAACTTTAGTGTTTTCTGCACACAAAAATGCGACTTTTTTTTTTACTCAGCTGATAGGTGACCCGCTTAACGGTTTTTGTGCTTTCATATCAGCGCAGACCTTTTACAATGAGGTTTTTGCAGATCTCTTCTTTTCAAAGGCGTAAATGCCCCAGGGTTTATAGCAGAACACCTGGAGGAACTTCTAGCAGATTGCTGGACAGAGAAGGTTCTCCGACCTTTCTGCCATGGATGCCCAACGATTCTTCATAACATCATCCTTGTACACCAGACTGAGAATGCACGTCACAAATCACTCTTAAATCTTGCCCACGAAAGCAAGGCAAGGGTCTGTGGGCACAAGAGAGCACCAAGAAGGCCTGTGTCGTCCTGTGCGCTTAGCACGTGGTACGGTTCGATCTGTTTGCGACTTTGCGCAACGTCGCTCCTACATAAAGACAAAAAGCAAAAACAAACGTGGGCGGCATTAAGGTTCATGGGGTTTCTGCCGCACGAGACTGAAAATCGCAACCAGGATCGCGCCACATGAAACGGGCTTGAAACGAGACCAACGATAAACGAAACTTTGCCTCTTGCCTTTGGGAATACAAAGAACGACAATACTTGCCTCTTGCCTTTGGGAATACAAAGAACGACAAGACTTTCGACTTGCTGGAGTCCCGCACCTTTCGCAGCGCAGCAGCGCCAAGGCATCCTCTTCCGGAAGCACCAGAACTTTCGGTGTCAAATAAACGCGGACCGAGCGAAAACCACGTTTTCTGCAGAACACCCGGAGCAGACGATCACGCTCATCGGATGTCGGCGACCGTTGCGCCGGTTGCGCCGTCGCCACGATTGCCACAGACAGCGGCGGCCGGCGGCAGTGTCGATCATAACGCCATGTTTTGAGGCGGTGGAAACAAGAACTCTACGCTTGAGCGCAGAAAGAGCGCCCCGATGTGACATGGTTGTTAACAGCTGTACCCGTCCTAACGGCCGGACTGGGTTATTAACATATTTGACGTCATCGTGAGGGCACCCTGACTCTTGGCGGCCTCTACTGGGGTTTCCTTGAACGCCGCTAGCTGCGCTAGCCTGGTTCCGCTGCGTATAAGGCAGACATCTTACCACTTAGCTACACTACCGCTCCGGACATTGGTACTTTTCCCACTTACCAAAGGATCGCCCCCCGAGGGAGAGGGCACAGGGACTGGTTTACAAAATCCCTTGCGATGGAGAAAATCCCGTGCGTTGGAGAAACGAACTATCCAGAGCGCCTGCGGCGCCACCGCTACGACATCGTGAAGAAGAATGTGGAGGGAAGCACGCTGGCTGAACACGTCGAGAAGACAAACCACTCCATCGACCTCGACAACAGCGCCATCCTCGGGATGGAGAGAAACTGGCGGAAGCGCCTTCTGTTAGAGTCGTGGTATATTCAGTGCACATGTGTCAACGTAAACCGGTCAACGGGGACCCTTCCAAGCAGCTACGTTTAATGGTTAAGAGGGATAATCTGAAGAGCACCCGGGGGATGCTCTGGTTCGTGGGCAGGCCGTTCCGCGGGACAGAAACAGTCGCCCGTGATCAAGGGGCCGAGTTGGCCCCGAGACGTCGGGATCTTTGCTTTTATAAAAGCGTGGTTGGAGTTCCAAAGTTAAATCATTCCTAACAAGGCGGATGTCCGTACAAAATGTTAACATTTAAACCCCTGCCTATGTTGACGGAGGCAGCGTCTATCTCCACGAGCCAGGCAATCCGGTGTTAGCGCCGTTGTTAGGGAGTGAATCGCCACCCATGAAATGCTGAGAAACCGAAACTCAAGATACTTGACGCTACCAAGATGGCCGAGTGCACAGTGCTGCCAGACCACCAAGCAGTTTCTCATATCGTCTATTGTACATTTGAAAACTGTGCAATGACATGAGACATTATAACAAAGAACAAACAGAAAAGTATCTGCGTTTGTAAAAATGGAATGCTCTGCCGAAGGCAGAGCATTCTATTTTTAATTGTTTTGACAAAACATGAACACTTACCCGGATTTGTCCAGGCGTGGAGCTGACATATGTTGTTTTACATTTTCATACACAATCAAGATGTAAAACGTTAGGCGACCTATTATTGAAAATTTGTATAAAATAGTTCAGAAAACCCTAAATCAAACTCTCGCGTGTTGTATAATAAATTAATACTGCCCTTATTTGGTGAAGGAGACAGCGGCGAAGACGCCATTCTTTGCAGCTCTCTTCGTTTTCCCAAGTTCCGACGAACCAAGTAAAAAAAAAATGATGAAAACATTTTTTTTTTTAAATACATAGAGTATACAGCCGTTAGACTTTTTAACAATGACGCGTGAACGCCGACCGACCGGTAAATCAGCGCCTTATCGCGGCGTAAAACAGCAAGTTAGCGAGGCTATCTGGATGCCTTCTGCCACAGGGCATAGTCTCGCTGAGCTGCTCATTCATTCCGGGACAAGTCGCTGATCTACCGGCCGGCCGGCGTTGCAGCGATATAGTTAAAAGATGCAAAGGCTTTACGCACGTAGTACAGCTACTTCTTCGAATAGTCGCCGCACAAATTTAGAGATGAATTATGGCGAAACACAAGCTTCTAAATGCTTCCCCGAACCTTCATGTGGCGAGGGACAGTTTGGCTGACGCATGTTGGAATGATTGAAATCACAGGCTGGAATCCTCTTTGAGGAGGGCATTCAAAAGCGGTTCCCTGTCATAACTGCCTTAAACCGTGGACTAGTTACGGGAAGAAGTAGCTAGAGTATGTATTATACACTGCGAGTATTAAAACAATGTTTTCATTACTGTTTTTACTCAGTTCATCAGAACATAAAAAAGAAACAGCCCTCGTAAATAGTTCTAATAGTATATACAAAACAATTATACGTAAAGGTTTTTATTGGACTACCCATATAACTGCCGTCCAGTCTTTTTTTTTTTTACCACATTATTTCGGCATATATGAGCAATATCAGGTGTTCATCTTCACCGTTTGGTGCTATAGAACTGCAAAACTGACCAATAATGTTTCGACGAGCCTCCTCGAAACACGGAATACACATACATGCTATACCGCAATATCGCGGTCGCTAAGAGACACAGAGCATGCATGCTTTTAAGTTCAAAAGAAGCGATGCTTCGTTTAAAATAAACGGATAATTTTAATGAGGTCTTAAAACCGGGTGGCATGCCTTACCATCGGTGTGGAGGTGCCCCTTAATTGTGGGCGGCACGTTTTCCTTCTTGGATTCCCAGCACGACCGATATATCGCCAACGCTTGCTGGGAGCGTGACGCCAGACTGGGCGGAGCAGACCTCAGCTGCCGCGAGTACGATTCCCTGGCCAACCAATCACTCATCAAGGAGCCCTTGTTTCCTGCCGGTAAGCCCTGACCGGTTCCCGGTTGGCCAGCACAGTTATACAAGTAACTAAAAAAGGGTTGCTAAGTTGTTAAGTTATGCAACAAACTTAGCTGGAACAGCGAATAAAAGACATAATCGCAGATTGTCATCCGTTCGTCCCCGATTAAGAACCATGTGTTGCATAATCGTATTCTTCATAGTGTAGGTTACAAACTATACCACAAGATGTGACAGTATGCTTTTAGAATGACCTGGTATAATGCTACTTTCATGCGTTGAAGTATGTGCAAGTCGAAAGAGCAGTAGTAAATTTATAGTTATGCGCTCTCCATACATTTTCAAGAAAAACATATCACCCATTAAAAGTGTTTGTTTTCAATTCCAGCATCACGGGTGCTTTTGTCGCTCTCAAGAGGCGGCCTCTATTCATATGCCTGATTTGGCGGGGCGCGCGAGTGATTGCGACATGTTCTGTCTGAGGCACTTGCTTCTTAGAGCACGGGTTCGTTTCTATTTATTTTTGCAGCTTAAATGGTATGCACCCTGACTTCGTCCACTGTTCTTTGCGAGAGCAAAGGTGCCTAAAATATAAGGAAGATACAGCGGTTGGGACAATATTTTGAAACCCAGGCAAAACGAAGGGTTCGTGCTAAGCCGTGAACGTGAACCCCCCTTTTACACTAAGGTGTCAGGTTAAACTTCTCGCTAGTACCTTGGACAATCGGAACACATCCTATTGCACACGCGCTGTTGGGGTGTTGTATAATTTCTGGCCTGGGTGGAACCCAAAAAAAAGGGTCCCTCCCCTCAAAAGGGATTAGAGGGGATTATTTCCCTGGACTGCCGCCCCTGGAAAGGGATAAGCATGGATTATGCTCGGACCACTTCTTTGCATAAACCCGAGGCAATCGTCGCGCTCTGATAGGACGTTCCACGCGGAGCTTTGTTTGACGCTCTCCGATTATATTCGAGAGAAAGGGAAGTGCATGCGTGGATAGACTGAGTGACGGGGGGCAACGGGGGCTTCAAAAAAGCCGGGTGGCTTTCTTGAAGTTTCTCAAAATGCGGCTTGTCTTGTTTTGGATCGGTAGAAACACTTCGCTACTTCGAGCAGCGAGCGGCCGCTAAATTATCCGCTGATGCGTCGCCATACCGACTCCGTGGAATTTGGCTTGTTTTGGATCGGCAGAAACACTTTGCTACTTCGAACAGCGAGCGGCCGCGAAATTAACCGCTGATGCCGAGTGGTTTTCGTGACGAATCGTCCATGTCTCTTCAATCTGCAAAATGCGGTTTGTTTGCTTCGCTTTTCTACGAACGTACCGGTATTGTGAAGCAAGGTGCGTTTCTCGGGCTTTGCGTAATCAGGATAAATCGTGTTCTTTTCAATACGCGTCGAGTACGTTCAATTGGTACGTTGCACCGACTCCCTCGTGAACCGCGCGCCCGAAAACCACGAGAGGCAAGGTAAGCGAACGCCTCGGACCCCAGAACCGGGAAAATAAAAAAATAAAAGTGAAGGGCAACCACACGCGCGTCTCTTCGTTTTATTATTTGTGTCCCCGTCTCGGATTAATAATGAGTCGTTCTCCGCCTATACTCCGTTTCACCTTATGTTGTACCGCAGAGGAGGCCAGAAGCGCGAGCTCATAGCGTTGGCAGCTGCCCTTGTTGCACGAGAACTTGTACCGTCGAGATGTGCCCTAGAGCAAGGAGCTCGCGCTTGTAGCCTTTCCTGCGGTACACTACTAGGCGAAACAGAGTATAGCCTCCGTTTTTGCCACGAGTTTGTGACGTGTAAGCAACGCAACTCTTCACACTGCTTTTATTTATTAATTTTTTTCCGCTGCGGATTTTTTCAATTTTTATTTGTGCCTGGTTCTGCTACTCTTCTGCTCTCGCCTCCCCTCCATAAAAGAAAGGCCCACACAATAACGTGTTCCAGTAGCCTGAAGCAAGTCATTCACCTATTCTTCACCGTTGAAATATTTTAGGCTGTACAACAGTAATGTGTGCACACTGAAAAGTAACTTATTGCTGCAATGTTTGTCGTTGAATATTGGATCACCAGCACAAATATTACTTACCGATGAGTGCCCAGGACAGCTTAAGAGACACCAGTGCACCCTTCAATGGTTCAAACCACTGCTTCATGCACCACACAGGTGACTGTGGCATAGTGACAAGCACAACCAAGGTGCTTGCTGTTTAATGTCAGAAACACTTTGGAAAATGCAGTTACCACATGACCCTGAAGTCCTAGAGAATCTTAAACCTTGGTGCCATGCAAAATAACTAAGCTAAAGAAACCGTCAAGGAAGAGTCACAACAGGTGCAACCCACAGGTTCTCGTGACTCCACATACCGGGCCGGGCAGCTGTAAATCAGCGAGCAGGTGTCGTAGAGTAGCTGCCACTGCAAGCGGTGCAGTGTCTCATAAAAAGAAACGGTTGCTGGAGAAAGCTCCCGTGAATGCAGAGTCTGTGGTGAGCTTGGAGTAGTGATGGTGATCCTGAAGCAAAAAGGATTCAAGCCAAGCCTGTTCCTGTGTTCAATGACGTATGGCATCCTCCCCTTACCAGAATTCCTGGCTGTTATTTTCCTTCCTTACGTGCGCGTGCCCCCATCAGCAGCAATAGTAATAATTGCACGTTGCTTCGACAGGACGTGCTGATTTGGAGGGGCCTGGTGGCAGAGTGTGTTAGCCCACTGCAGCTCGCAGTGTGTGGAGCATGGGCGTGTATTACCGCTATATGAATCATCTTAGACTTTGGGCTATCGGATGTACCGCACTAGTCAAATTTCTCACATAGAGCGTGACAAAGTGTCACCATGCGCTGCCAGACCGACCTTCCTTCTTCTCGACAAATAATGGCCAATTTTCTTTGTTCCTGCTAATTTGGCGGTCGAGTAAAAGAGAAAAAAAAGAACTACTTTTGTGTGTGATGGGAAACGTATAAACCTCTCCATATACCAGGTTTACCTACAGCCACCTGAAAACAATGCACCTCTTCAAGTGTGAAAGAGGGTATGCCTGCACGCAATCCACTACACTCTGTTTCACATTAATTTGGGAAACTGTAGAAACTGCGGTGTCTGTGCAAGCCGGAGGAGTCTGCTGTGAAATTAGCACACTTGGGAAGAACATACCCCATGTACCTAAAGACATTAGATGGTTTTAAAAAGGCATTCATACTTTCAGTCGGCTTGCAAACTCTAGCAAAAATGTTGGTTTGTACCGTAGAAGTTTCAATTTCCCCTGCTTGAACTACTAGGAAAATAACTTCAAATTCACAATAGTGCTGAACGCAACTAAAACACATGGCGGAACGGTGGCCCGAGACGGCTAGCACGTCTCAGCTCCGGGCATGTGCAGCGAAAGCTTGCGCTGCAGAACCTGGGATCGTGGGCTAAATCCCAGCACTTGCTCATTTCGATCTGGACGAGGATCATACCAGTAGGCGTTTGTGTAATCACTACTACATGATGCACGTTAAAGATCCCAGGCTTTCGGTCATACTGCGCTGGCTAAATTCCTCATCTACAGCGGCAAGCTTGGCACCATTCGAGGCAGGCCGACCTTTCGCTGTCTAAACATCCTCAACACAATGCTACTTTTTTTTTTTAACTGAAACACGTACAAAAGAAAACATGCCTATGACCTTGTACAGTAATGCATTGAACTGTTTGTGAATGCTTGTGATACACAAACGGGCAAAAGGCAAGAACGAGAGCATGCACATTCACACTGTGGCAGCAAATACACCACAGCAGCCTCCTTTGCCGTTGTTGCCATGGCAGATGGAAGAGCAGGGCAGCGAATGCCGATATGACTGAAAACATTGTAAAAGTTATTGCTTTGCTTTTAATAACAGCTCAAAAAAATTTAGACTAATAGCTTTTCAAAACAAAGCCACGGTAGCAGTACTTTTTGGCGCAGATGGAACAGTCTGCCGCGATGGTGAGGAAATGCTGTAGCCGTTGCCTTTTGCCAAGTTATGGAGAAACACAGCACAGATCATTCCACTCGGAGAGAAGACGCACCCATGAACCAGAGCACTCAGACGGGACTTTTCCTCGGTGCGTCGTCTGCGTCAAGAAACGAGCTATACAAATGATTCGTTAGCATGCAACGTGGTTCCAAATCTCACATTTAAGCTATTTCAGGTGCAAATTTAGAGGTGGGGGTTAGCATGCAATGCCATACTTGATGAAGAGATTAACAGGGCACAATTGTGCAACCATCTCCTGTGCAAAGGAAACAGAAAACTGAAAACAAGCACATAAACAATGTGCACAGTCAGTCTGCTCTGGCAACAAAACAAAAAAAGCTTTACACCAATTTGGATCGGAACTCATTGAACCCCCTAACAGCGGAGTCTTAAAAAAAACATAAAAAAATAAAGCACTTGCCAACAAGCAATGATTATGCATATTCAAGGCATTTCGTCGACGAAAAACAAATCCGCCGCCTGAAACCCGGTGCTTGCTAAGCCTTCCAGAAAAAAAAACCAAGGGTGCTTACATTATTGTTGATATTTGTGGCAGCGTTATACACCAACTCATGTTTACAAACAAACCGGAGCGCCCCTAGCGGACGCCACCGGCGCCGCGCATGCACGATGGAGTGTGGGCAAGAAGCTTGCCGTCGCCCATAAACAAACCATTGAAATGCGATGTTGTTGGCGTCGGTGTGAGTCCCCCTGCCCTTTTTCGCGTTCGAATCGTTGATTCTACGTCTTCCTGGCAATGTCTGACTACTTGAGCGGCCTCAAGGAAATTACCGGGGCTCGTTACACCGCAAACCTTTGCGTGAATAATGCGACATGCAGCGATTCATTCCGCGCGGACGCCGCAGAATGCATGCTTAAGCCTGATTCGCATGATAAGATTCTGCTCGCAATTTTCAGTTGCAACGTCGCTGGGGCTGCAAAAGCATGAACCATAACTGAAATGGTCGACGTCAATACTGAAAATCGCAAGCACAATCAGACCAAGTGAACCAGGCATAACAACTCA